CAGATCATCTAATGTTCATAATGAACCAATTATCATAACAACAAGTAGGCACAATCCGTCTGGGTGCTAGACAATTTATTAAAAGCATACTATGTCTTAATAGCTAAGGGTGCAGTGGTGAACAAGAGTGCTATTATAATAGGCTAGTGCAGCAGCTTGGGGATAAATCAAAGTCTATAATCAATAAACTAACATTTCATAATCACAAATACAAAATCAAGTTGGAGTTACAGACCCATACTATGTGCTATTAGTATTCCTAATTACCACTTTTTGAATATAAACTGTATACCAGGAACTTTGATAAATGCTCTATATGCATTCTCATTTAAACCTGACACTTCTATCAAATACGTATTATTTCCCACACTTCACAGATAAGCAATATGAGACCAAAGAGGTTGAATAATTTGCCCATGACCACACAGGTAAGCAGAGGCAGAGCTGGATGCATCAAGTCTCTCTGACCCTAAAGCACATCTTCTTTCCACACTATGATGGCAAGATTCCAAGAGGTACCCTCTAAAACTGGAGGGTACTGAATTCAACCCAGGTTCAAGGAGGCCTAACCTAAGTCAGTCCTTCTATATTTAATGCATTTTCTTAAAATGGTCTCAATTTAGCATTTTTGTCTAGTGCTAGAATATAAGATTTTTTTTTTTTTTTTTTTTGGAGACGGAGTCTCGCTCTGTCACCCGGGCTGGAGTGCAGTGGCCGGATCTCAGCTCACTGCAAGCTCCGCCTCCTGGGTTCACGCCATTCTCCTGCCTCAGCCTCCCAAGTAGCTGGGACTACAGACGCCTGCCACCTCGCCTGGCTAGTTTTTTGTATTTTTTAGTAGAGACAGGGTTTCACCGTGTTAGCCAGGATGGTCTCGATCTCCTGACCTCGTGATCCGCCCGTCTCGGCCTCCCAAAGTGCTGGGATTACAGGCTTGAGCCACTGCGCCCGGCCAAGATTATTAGCAAGAAAAAGTTGTATATAAAATCTTAAGTGAGAGGCATCCTGTATTAGACTAACATTAGTTCCTTTAAACAGTCTCTTTAGTAATCTTCATTTTACAAAACGATACCAATCTATGGAGCCTGACACAATCCACTAGGTTAAAAAAAGATGTGTGTGTATGCATAAACATGTATGTATGTGTACATATAGTTTTCTCTGGTTTCACATTCCCAAAATTTTGTTTTATTTGAATATGCCTTCAGAAGAATCTTTAAAAGTCAAATATTTAAGAGATGAAAGATTAAGAATATATGGTAAATATTTCTATAGTTCACAAGAGGCATAATGTTCCAGTTTCTATTACTAGTATGCTACGATACACCATGGATAAATCATTTTTACCTCTGGGCTTCTGGGAGAGGGAATTGGATGACACAATCTCTAAGGTGCATCCTATTTTTTAAATGTGTGGCTATGTAACAACCTACAACACTTTTCAAAGCATGACTGACTTTATCTTTGAACATAGCAAGCAAAGAGCTACAATAGAGGGAGAAGATAAATCTAATTAGCATTTACTATTTCATCCGGGCACTTAATTTAACAGCTTCTTTAGCAGCATATCCAGGCTGGACATGGAAACTTGGTAAGACCCCTAGGAATCACCAACTCTCAGGGAATAACACTTGGCTAGCTCTTCTTTTTTTAATCTAAAGGTGCTTAGCTTAGTCTGAAAAGAAAATAAATCCCACTTCTTTATCCATGAAAACAATCTTCTTCTATTTAAATAATCCCTCCATCTCAGCCTCTAGGAACTAATAAAAGGGGGTTTAAGATTGCCAAATAAGGTACTGGTACCAAAACAGATATATAGACCAATGGAAAAGAACAGAGGCCTCAGAAATAACACCACACATCTACAACCATCTGATCTTTGACAAACCTGACAAAAACAAGAAATGGGGAGAGGATTCCCTACTTAATAAATAGTGCTGGGAAAACTGGCTAGCCATGTGCAGAAAACTGAAACTGGACCCCTTCCTTACACCTTATGAAAAAATTAACTCAAGATGGATTAAAGACTTAAACGTAAGACCTAAAATCATAAAAATTCTAACAGACAACCTAGGCAATACCATTCAGGACATAGGCATGGGCAGACTTAATGTCTAAAACATCAAAAGCAATGGCAACAAAACTCAAAATAGACAAATAGGATCTACTTAAACTAAAGAGCTTCTGCACAGCAAAAGAAACTATCATCAAAGCGAACAGGCAACCTACAGAATGGGAGAAAATTTTTGCAATCTACCCATCTAACAAGGGCTAATATCCAGAATCTAAAAAGAACTTAAACAAATTTACAAGAAAAAAAATCAACCCCATCAAAAAGTGAGCAAAGGGCCGGGCGCGGTGGCTCAAGCCTGTAATCCCAGCACTTTGGGAGGCCGAGACGGGTGGATCATGAGGTCAGGAGATCGAGACTATCCTGGCTAACACGGTGAAACCCTGTCTCTACTAAAAAATACAAAAAACTAGCCGGGTGAGGTGGCGGGCGCCTGTAGTCCCAGCTACTCGGGAGGCTGAGGCCGGAGAATGGCGTGAACCCGGGAGGCGGAGCTTGCAGTGAGCTGAGATCCGGCCACTGCACTCCAGCCTGGGCGACAGAGCGAGACTCCGTCACAAAAAAAAAAAAAAAAAAAAAGTGAGCAAAGGATATGAACAGACGCTTCTCAAAAGAAGACATTTATGTGGCCAACGAACATACGAAAAAAAGCTCATCATCACTGGTCATTAGAGAAATGCGAATCAAAACCACAAGATACCACCTCATACCAGTTAGAATGGCGATCATTAAAAAGTCAGGAACAACAGATGCTGGAGAGGATGGGAGAAACAGGAACGCTTTTACACTACTGGTGGGAGTGTAAATTAGTTCAACCATTGTGGAAGACACTGTGGCAATTCCTCAAGGATACAGACCTAGAAATACCATTTGACCCAGCAATCCCATTACTGAGCATATACCCAAAAAATTATAAATCATTCTACTATAAAGACACATGCACACGTTTACTGCAGCACTATTCACAATAGTAAAGACTTGGAACCAACCCAAATGTAGAACAGATAGAAAATGTGGCACATATACACCATGGAATACTATGCAGCCATAAAAAAAGCTGAGTTCATATCCTTTGCAGGGACATGGATGAAGCTGGAAACCATCATTCTCAGCAAACTAACACAAGAACAGAAAACCAAACACCTCATGTTCTCACTCATAAATGGGAGCTGAACAATGAGAACACATGGACACAGGGAGTGGAACATCACACACCAGGCCCTGTCAGGGGGTTGGGGGGTAGGGGAGGGATAGCATTAGGAGAAATACCTAATGTAGGTGACGGGTTGATGGGTGCAGCAAACCACCATGGCACATGTATACCTGTGTAACAAAACTACACATTCTGCACAAGTACCCCAGAACTTAAAGTATTTAAAAAAAAAAAAAATAGTTGCTGAGTAAGTACTCTTTAGTAAATATGGGTGAGGATCTCAAAAACTAATGAAATCTGTACACAGTAGCAAAGGAGGATTCATGAGTTCTGCCTATTCTCTCTTGTTGGTTCCTCTTTAATAAACTAGAAATGTACACCAAATACAGAAAAAGAGCAGATGATTACATATAGACGAAATCTCAAAGATCACATTTTCTAGTTTAAGTTTTCTCGTTACTTGTGACTAAATACTTAAATTATCTAATTAAATTAAAACACAAGCCTCAAAGGTATGTTTACAGTGATTCATAAAATTACAGGCCATGCGACTGTGGTTTAAATTTACAACTTAATTTTATAATTAAGCCCCAAAGACTATAAAGAGGGGATTAGGGGAGGGGGAGAATGTAAATATATACAGTATACTTTTCAACAATAACTGAACAATTTTAAAAACAAGAATAAAATTTAACAAATCGAAATTAAAGTAACGTTATCTTTAAAATCTCATTGTCATTCTTTCCCCCAAAGTACTAAAATAATAACATCTTTAGTACTAAAAATACCAGAAGTCAGTTACTATTCATCTTACACACGGAGACAATGAAGTCAAAACTGCAGTAAACAATTTTACTAAAATGAATACAGCACCAAAAAAAAAGGAGGGGGGGGGACTAAAATCCAAAGCTCCTGTTTACAGGATCCATGATGTATTCAAAAACCAAGACACCTAATCAAAGATCCTGCAAAAATTAAATTACTCAAGCTTCTGATCACCATTCTAAAAATGCCTCTGCAGGAAATATACTCTCTGACAAACTTCACAGAAAAAAAATGAAAAGTATAAACACACTTAAAGGACCTGACAAATGGATACCCGCATAACTAGATAAGGTGAAGTTTTTTCCCCAAATTTAACAAGTCTTTGACTTAAAATTTAAATATCCTATAGGTATTAACAGGATAAATTAATACAACGCTGATAAATAATACATGCTAAGCCTATGGTACAAGTTTGAATTTGAGACTTTACACAAGAATTTTAAGTATCCACGCATCCCATTAAAGCCTCAGACCTCCAGAAATTAGTTTGTTAAATACCTATGAAGGTCTTCCCAGGCCACATGTGTCTAATCAATAGGGGATTTACTAGAGAACACTTTTCAGAAGGAAATATGTTAAGGAAATACAATTTTATTAACAATTATCTATTTTATTATCTTATAAATATTCAAAGGAAATCTTTGTTAATTACTAATATACTTTCCTAAATGCAATACACTTCATTTACAGATTAAAACATACATTAGAGTCTAAAGTAGTGGTTCTCAACTGATGGCAACTAGCAATGTGTGGTGACGTTTTTGGTTTTCACAACTGGAAGGTGCTACTGGCATCTGGGGGGTAAGGCCAGGGACTCTGCTAAACTTCCTACAATGTACATAACAGCTCCATACAACAAAGAGTTATCCAACCCCAGTATCAATAGTGCCAAAATTAAGAAACCCTTATACAGTCCGAATTGCATTGTAAGGACTATTAAGGTTTACTTACCTTTAAATTTAATATCCAGACCACTAAATTCCAATTCAACCCCTTGAAGTGCTTCTCCCAGAGTTTCATGGTAATGGCTGATACTTTTTTTTGACCCCACACAGAATGGAAGTGAAAAGTACTTATATGTTTCTTGACGATTATGGTATGGCCCAACAGTATTCATCCATAAGACAACTTCCTCTTTATCTTGATACTGAAACAAGAAAAGCAAACGAATTAAAAAAAAAAAAAAAAAACTAATTCAAATTAAGGGAATATTTGTTATGAGTGCTAAACAAAAGTGCATCATCTCTGTTCAGGAAGCTATAAAATAAAATACTGGAAGCTTAATCTGATGATGAATGTCCACATCTTAAAAATGAAACTTTGTGAATTTTAAAATTATATCCTCTGATGGTAGTCTCGGGAAGATACATCTTTTCCAAACTTGTTTTATAGAAAAGAGTGTGTAAACTAAGTCCAATAGCTCATGAGAGTACGTCTATTATTTACATTTATACTATCAAATAATGGCAAACCTGCAACCAGCATGATTCACCATGCTAACATGGACAAAGAAGGAGGAAACAAAATCAATAGTTTATCCAGAACCTCATGTTAATCAATAAATTAAAAAACAAAAACTAACATTGCCAGCAAGCATAAATAAAATTTCATTTCCTTGTGAGACTTTCACACAGCCACTGGTCAAAGTACTACAGAGGACAGAAATGACCAAACACAAGGAAGAAGACTACTACTACAGAACCTCCACAAGTCCATTCAAGCCAATATTCTATCTTGTTAGCAGCCTGAAAGACATGCACTATATGCATATTTCTTTGAATAAGTAATTATGGAACTACGTATCAGTGAATACTACACATAGCTAAATCTGAAGTGTGGTCAATAATGACTTTGGGTAGTTCCAAGGTACAAGTGGAAGGCCTGTCAAAGATTTCTAAGATCTCTACAAGATTAAAGTTCCAATGATTCTATAGAAAGTGATTCCCATAGTAATTTTAAAACTAATAATTCTAAGTAGCAATATAAATTAAAGACAACACTGGATGCATTTAAATCAACTAATAGTGCAGACATTAATTTACTAAACAATTATTTACTAAGTGCTTAGCATGTGAAGCAACTGTGTTTATAACTGAGGATACAGCTTTGAACAAGATGTGTTCCCTGCCCTTCTGGGGGAAAGATGGGCATTAAACAATAAGGTAGGTTGCTATGGAGCATATAATAGAAGAAGCTATCCAACTGGCCTACTATGAAATTCTTATCTCCAGTCCTCCATCTAAAACTAGTTAACAAACATTTTCAATCAAAACCTAACATCTCCAAAACCAAACTTATCTACCCAAATCCACTTTCCTCAGCTTCATTTTTCTAATGGTACTACCATTCTCTCAGACATGGAGACTCAAACCCCAAATCTCTCTGCACTCCAGGGAACCCAAAAACATTTAACTTACATGTTCTTATCCAAAACATCTGCCTTTTTCTTTTGATTCACACGACTACCACCCTAAGACTTAGACCTAGTCATGTTATTTTCAAACATAAATGCCTCACTGTTCATATAAGACAATAGCCAGATCATTAAGGAAATAACAAATGATCTCACCTTTTGAATACATATGTGACAGGTACCGAGCACAGCATTAGGTATTAAAAATATAAAAGTAAATAAAATACTGTCGTTTCCTTAAGAAGTTCATAATCCACAGTGGAATCAGACAAGTAAATGATTAACAAAGAAAAAATAAGTATTATAATTAAGGTACTAAAGGGCAACAATAAAGGAATGATTAAATTCACTTTGGCAGAGAAGGTCAGGACGAATAACAATTTGGAAAATCATAAGCTGTTTCAAGGGAGTTCAGAAAAACTGTAGATAATCTTCATGTAGGAAGTAATGAATCAAAGGTCTAAATGTTAACGTTATCTGTATATCCGCATTCATTACTATTCTTTTTGTCTGGGGAGACTGACAAATTTATGTAAGCCCCCACTCTTCCATCCAATGCTCATGGCCACACAGCACTAATCAACAAGTTAACTCCTTTCTGCTGAACGTAGATACCGCCTCAGAGTTCTCAAAACAGTGCTCTAAACCAACCACTACCAACTAACAAGAGTTGATATTAGAATTAAAACTTGTTCATGGCCAGGTGTGTTGACTCACACCTGTAATCCCAGCACCTTGGGACACCGAGGCCGGCAGATCACTTAAGGTCAGGAGTTTGAGACCAGCCTGGCCAACATGGTAAAACCCCGTCTCTAATAAACACACAAATATCAGCAGGGTGTAGTGGCACATGCCTGTAATCCCAGCTACTTGGGAGGCTGAGGCAGGAGAATCACTTGAACCCAGGAGGCGGAGGTTGCAGTGAGCTGAGATTGTGCCACTGCACTCCAGTCTGGGTGACAGAGTGAGACTCTGTCTCACAAAAAGAACTTATCCACCAAGGCAAATAGATATTTAATAAATATGACGGGAAAACACTGAAGAAATACTGAAATGTAAAGTTCATTGGCAACTTGGTAAAAGAAGTTTGAAGGATGTGAAATGATATGTACACTGACTGTAAGAGTTACCTTTCCAGAAAAATAAGGGGAGGTAACATAATTCATCTATTTAAGAGCAGAATGCTGAATGAGACGACCTATTAAAGAGCACCTTGCCATTAATCCTGCTGAGTCTGCAGAAATGTTATAAATGTAACTTGTGAAAATAAGCACAAAAATACTTTTCCTATAAATTCCAAAACTTTTCCTTTAAAAATAGACAAAATCTTTGAAAATAAATACCTTTAAAAATAGGGCATCCATTTATTTTATACAAATTAAAACATAAGGACTAAAATAATTTAACGATCTCAGTCAAAGTTAAGCCAAATATTCCGAAGTCACTCATTTTAAACATTCAGGAACCCTCAACAGAATGGTAGAGTTACGATGTGATGCCAGCACTGTAACAAAACTTAACACCATTCTGCAGTATAAGATTCTTTCTGGGAAAAGGACTGAAATAGTAATTAGAAATACACATATTGAGAGTTCAGGGTGAATAGCAAGGCAAAAATAATGCTTTTTTTCTTTTATTTTGCTCCTTATTATGCAGACTGTGGTTTAATACAATGAACATAAAATGTTTACTTTTCATTGCAGCCCTTGATTGTCCCTGTGAATAAGTGCTTCCAAGACAAGATCAAGAGTTCTTTCTCAAGAGAAAATGTTTTAAAACATTTTGAAATTAAAAAATACCAAAAGACTTCACACAACATCTGAAGGAGAAAACAAAACAAATAAAAACCTTTCCTTTCCCTAAAGCTCTGACAAAGCCCCTGAGCTCCACAGTCTGTGGCAAGGGAGTGCCAGGCCCAGAAGAAGGTGGGGGGTGGAGTCACAGAAGCACAGCAGTGAATCTGGGAATCCCTAAACTGGATAATAATCCCTTCCATCTGAGGCTTCCCTGGGAAATGGCCAAGTAAGAAAAGGCCAATTCAGGCTACCGGCATTCTTCACCTACTTACTTTCCAGCTCTCAGAAGAATCTCACTGCTACACTTAAGTCGTCCGCGCTGGCCAAAACGGTTTATGATATTGCCTTCCTCCCCTTTTCTGCTTCATCTTCTTTCGTCATTCCCCCAAATTTAGAATGCCCTCCTTTTCTCCACTTAGCCAAATTCTACTAACCCTTCCGAACTGCTCAAATCCTCCTTTTTCAAATCCTCAGGTAAAGCCTTAATTCACCAAACCCTAACATGACATGATCTCACCATTTTTGTAAAAATAACATCACTAGCTAACAATAAATACATACTATGAGCTAGGTATAGTTCTAAGGTCTTTACATGAACATTTAAATAATCATCTCAACATTCTATAAAATAGGTCCTATTATTTCCCCATTTTACAGACTAAAAACAAAAACAAAACTAAAGAACAGAGATGTTAAATAATTTGTCCAAATTAATCAGCATCAAGTTTAAAAGGTCAGTATTTTTGCTAATCCCTAGTCAGCTTCATTCATTAAAGAGCAAAAAACTAAATCAAGGAAATATGAAAGCAATGCAGGTGTACAAAGCAACTAAAGGCAGTCCTGAATACCGAGTAACTTTTCCACATGAGCCTTTAATCTGCCTGGGGGGGGAAAAAAAACCACCTTCTAAGAAATTATTTGCACTCTAATCTCAAAAGGAATGACCTTTATTCTCAAGAAGTCACCAATGTTGGGCCCCTCTTATTTAAATACTGTTTATGTGTTGGGGGTTACCAAAGTTTTCCTCCTTGACAGAGGTCACGAATTAATTATTCTCAGGAGAAACGCTTTAGAAGATAATATTGCTGATGTAGTCATGTGAAATCTGAATAAGAAATCACAATTTATATAGATGGGCAAAGGATTGAGGGTTCAGAACAAGCACCAAAATGCTATCCTTCCTTTTCATACAAAGGAGAAAAATAAGTGTGTTTACTTCAAAATAAATGTTCCAGAAATCATAATTTCAAAGCCTTTTAATTATTAAAACACACATCGGAATTCTAATACAAATAAATTAGAAATGTATTTTTTTGAATAGCCTCTTGAGAGAACTACTCTCTCTCAAAAATAGCTTTGTACCTAAATAAACTTTCAGTCTATCATTGAGTAGAGCTGAAAATAGGACAACGAACTTTGGTATTTAACAATCTACATTAGATAACTCACAAATGCACTTACAGTAAACAGCTTATACTCTTTACAAATTTTCAGTAAGTTTCAAGAGTTCATATACTCCCAACAGAGACAAAGACAAAAGGTTGCCATTTGCCAAAGTAAATCAAACAAAACATTTCTGAACTCACTTAGTGATATAATACAAAGTATTTATGAGGCAGAGGCTGAGTAAAGGATTCTGGCAGGCATTCAGTCTGTCCAACATTAGAAGTCTCAAGATTACCAGTATACTGGGCCACAGAGAAATAGGGAATTTTAGCCTAGGTAGGACCCCCAAATCGAAACAGGAGACAATGCATCTTAAATGAATAATGGCCTGAGTTTGTTCATTGTGCTTCCACATTGCACATCCTTGTCACTAGTAGCTCCCTAATTATTCAAGTCATTCAACAAGCACTGATCAAATACCACTTGTGCCAAGCACAGTGCTTGTGTATGTAACAGACCAAAAAAAAAAAAAACTGACTTTGTGATCTTGTTAAGGAAACAGAACCCATAAAAATTCAAGGCTACAGTGCAAACCATAAAATGTTCTAAGATTCCTGCACCCCTAAGTACTGGGTTTTTGGTGCTAACATCTTTACATATTAAAACTATGGAATTATACATACAAGACAGGTAGAAAAGGCAAGACTAGAGATCAGGAAGCTCTGATTGTTTCTGTGGCCTTGAGCAAGTCTCTGAACCTGTACAGGCCATTAGGAAAATGAGGAGTTTTGGATTAAATTATCGAGTCTTTTTAGTTCTAAAATTCTATGATTCTCAATCTGAAATCGTTTTTAATGCAGCCCTTCAGAATCTTAGGAGACATTCCCAAGTGCTTTGAGTTTCAGAAAACCAAATAAGCATAAACACACCTTTCACTGACTCTATAAAGAAGCCTATATCCCTTCAATCACTTATTAAAAGGCTGTCTTCCACAAAAGTGTTAATTTTCATTTCAAAAAACATGTCTGTAATGCATATATAATTCAACTTTTAAAAATTAAAAGGAACACATTCTTACATATTCTAGATATGTACATACAGCCTCTATTAAATCAATAGCACATTTCCTTTTCAACACTCTTCAGAGACTATTAAAAGAACTTTGGATAAATAAGCACATAAAAAATATGTATATATACACCATAGGGCCAGGCACAGTGGCTCAAGCCTGTAATTCCAACACTTTGGGAGGCCAAGGAGGGCGGATCACCTGAGGTCAGGAGTTCGAGACCAGCCTGACCAAGATGGGGAACTCTTGTCTCTACTAAAAAAATACAAAATTAGCTGGACACGGTGGCACATGCCTGTAATCCCAGCTACCCAGGAGGCTGAGACAGGAGAACTGCTTGAACCCAGGAGGCAGAGGTTGCAGTGAGCCAAGATCATGCCATTGCACTCCAGCCTGAGCAACAAGAGTGAAACACCGTCTCAAAAAAAAAAAAAAGAAAGAAAGAAAAAAGAAAAGAAAAAAATAGCATATGGGTCAGATGGCCACCTGAATCCTAATTCAGTAGGTACAGTAAGGGAAATCAGGGGCTTTGGGGAACGGACACAAGGTATTGCCTCCTCTTAGGACAAGCTATATAATTTGTGGGACCCAGTACAGAATAAAAATACAGAGCCCCGTGTTCAAAAATTTAAAACTTCGAGATGTTACAGGACAGCATGAAAACAAGCTCTCCCATAGTCTTGTGTGACTATTCAGGGCACGTGCCCATGAAGTCAACCCTATTGCTCCTTAATGCTAACCCAAACAGCTCAGAAACAACTCATTATGGAGCCACACTTATCCCAGCATTTAAGAACTTAAAAATCAATACAGAGAACCGCTCAATACCTAATTGAGCTTTACTGTCTTATTTTTAGGATAAAGGGGAGTAGAGCATATGGCGGCTTACAGTGTAGAAGACTATCAACTCCGAATGCCTAAGTTCAAATCCCACCTCTACCCCCACCAGATGTGTGTTATCTGCAGGTGACCTCACCTCTCTAGATTCACTTTCCTCATCTATAAAATGGGCATATTACTCACCTCATAGGTTATTAATAGATGACTTCTCACGCTCATGCCTGTAATCCCAGCACTTTGGGAGGCTGAGGCAGGCAGATCACCTGAGGTCAGGAGTTCAAGACCAGCCTGGCCAACATGGTGAAACCTCGTCTCTACTAAAAATACAAAAATTAGCCAGGCATGGTGGTGTGCACCTGTAATACCAGCTACTAGGGAGGCTGAGGTAGGAGAACTGCTTGAACCCAGGAGGCAGAGATAGCAGTGAGCGGACATTGTGCCACTGCACTCCAGCCTGGATGACAAGAGCAAAACTATGCCTCTTAAAAAAAATAAAAATAAAAATAACAGTGTATAGCCCATTTTGCTACAAAAGACATCCTAGCTATTATCTTTATCTGGAAACAATCTTTACAGGCAATTAATTTAAAGGCCAGCTTTAGTTTCTAAAAGTTAGTCTTTGATAATTCAATTATACATGTATTTACTAAACACCTACTTAGCAACCTACCCATATCAATGTCTCCTCTTCCTTTAGTATTATTCTCTCTTTACTAGCTACTTTTGCTTCTTTGATAGAAAAATAAAAATATAAAAATAAAACTTACTTGACCATATAGCTTTTTCAGTACTGTTATCTGGCTAAGATGAATGCCTAGTTTTTGAGAAATATTTTCAAGAAACTTAGAAAAAGCAAAAGATTTTGGCTAATAATGAAAAATAATATAAATGACACATTTGAATTTTATGCTTATTTTTAAATGCTATTCTTCCTATAACTTTTTTTTTTTTTTTTTTTTTTTTTTTTTTTTTTGAGACGGAGTCTCGCTCTGTCGCCCAGGCTGGAGTGTAGTGGCCGGATCTCAGCTCACTGCAAGCTCCGCCTCCCGGGTTCACGCCATTCTCCGGCCTCAGCCTCCCGAGTAGCTGGGACTACAGGCGCCCGCCACCTCGCCCGGCTAGTTTTTTGTATTTCTTAATAGAGACGGGGTTTCACCGTGTTAGCCAGGATGGTTTCGATCTCCTGACCTCGTGATCCGCCCGTCTCGGCCTCCCAAAGTGCTGGGATTACAGGCTTGAGCCACCGCACCCGGCTTTTTTTTTGCTTTTTAAAATATGTATTTAGCCAGGCGCAGTGGCTCACGCCTGTAATCCCAGCACTTTGGGGGGCCAAGGCAGGCAGATCATTTGAGGCCAGTCGTTTGAGTTCAAGACCAGCCGGGTCAACATGGCGAAACCCCCTTTCTACTAAAAATACAAAAATTAGCCAGGTGTGGTGGCGCATGCCTGTAATCCCAGCTACTTGGATGAGGCACAAGAATCGCTTGAGCCGGTGAGGCTGAGGTTGCAGTGAGGTGACACAGTGCCACTACACTCCAGCCTGGGCAACAAAGTGGGACTCTGTCTCAAAAATAAATAAATAACATTTTAATAATGGGTAACCAAGTAAGAGCAGTTCAATACAGACGTGAAGTAATATGGATTCTAAACTTTTTGTCTAGCAACCATCTCATATATGCCATATTCTCTTTTGTGGCAGTCAACAAAAACCTTTCATCAAATATCTTATATTCAATTACTAGAATAAAAAACTGAAATAGTCCTAGCAATAAAACTTCATTGAAATTAAACTTTTAATTTGTAAATTATTCTAAAGCCTTTATATACATCCAATTTTTAAAATTTTAATTGTGTTTCCCTATTTATAGCAGTATAAGTCACAAGATAATTACAAGATTAAAAAGTAGAATACAGTACACTTGCGAGCCTATATGCCTGTATCATGGAACTACGCATTGAGATTCTGAGTATCATATGGTAACTTTTCACAAGTGTTTTTTTAATTGGAAATATATTAGTAACAATATCATTAAACAAAAGGATGGATGCCCATTGAAAATTTAAAAATAATCAAAGACCCAAATCTATACATGGTCCCTGTTTACTATGTGAAACAATAGCAGTTCTTAAACTTTGAGACAGCTTATCTGATAGAAGAAAACAAAAGGAAATCGTCTTAAGCTGTTTAACCTCCCAACAAAATTATCTTAGGTGAAACACCACAAGTACAGCACAAAAACATGTCACCAATTCAAGATTTGTGTCCCTAAAGAAATATATACCTACACAGGTAAGAAGTTTCTGGCTGTGACCGAAGGTAGAACAGCCAAAAGTTTAGAGCTTTTATTAGCTAAAATAAGAGCCCAGCTAGCCAAGGGTCCAGCGAAAAGTTTTGTTGATTACAAATAAAATCGGGTCCATTAAATATGTAAGGACGACTGCTTCATTTCCTCACTTTCCAGAAATGACGTAAGACTCCCTCAGATCTTTCTTACTTAGTCAAACACAATCTCTCATGGAAACTCCTATCATTAATGGTAAAGGTATAAAAAACAATTACTCGTCAAGCAAACTCTCAATTTACCTGACCTTCCTGCCTTACTCAAGTCTACCATTCTGAAAACCAGAGTTACAGCCCTAAGTGAAAGCCACTTGAAGAGTCGTTCACATGCACGCTTTGATGTGAGAATGCCAATTAAATAAACTGCCAATCAACTTTAGGCCAAATGCAAAAGGGACTGTTCCTGGCCCTGACCTGAAGACTGGGAAACATTAAGACCCTTTACTGTCAGAAGCTGCCTTAGTTAGGCACTATCCGGATGGGGGCCTCATTTGGGGGCTGGAAGGTGAGGAGAAAGTTACAAGAAAGGCCTAGGAATTGAATGTGTGTGGGTTAGGTACACTTATAAGTAAGTGTAAACTGCTCTTCAATTCAAGTTTATTAACGAGGCCCCACCCCAGGGTTTTAATCCGGTCTGGGAAGAAGCGGGCGAAAAAAGCCAAAGAGGACCATGAAGTGTAGTATATTTCCTGGTTAGTGGCTGCCGGGTAATCGCGATGCATCCATCTTCCTCCGCGTCGCAGCCCTCAGTAGCCAGAAGGCAGTCTCCTTCCCTGGGGGGCAAAAGCCCCGAGCCCAACCTGCCCGTTGCCCCGCTCCCGCGGCGGCTGAACTCCAACCCTTCCCAGGCTCCTTCTCGGCCCCAGGACCCCCGAGACCCTGGGGTGCGGCGCCACTGAGGCGCAGGCCGGGTGAAGGAAGCCCTGGCACTCGGGAACTGAGCCCTGTCCCAGGAGCGCACAGAAATGCCTGCCCCACGCTCCCAAGGTTCCTGCTCCGCCAGGCCCAACCGGAAGGAGTCCTCGAGACGCCGCGGGGATTCACCGGACCGCCGGGCCTTCCAGGCTGCGTGGGGCCTGCCTCGGTGGGCAACTGGGGAGCTAGCCCGGGGCGGCCGCACTGGCCGGGGGCACCTCACCGTATGTTCGTGCTCGTCCGCCCGGGCCCGTGGCAGCAACAGCAGCAACAGCGCGGCGGCCGCCGCCACGCCTGGAGCGCCAGGCAGCGGCCTCATCCTCCGCGCCCCACCGGCCCGGAGCCGGCCCACCGACTCCTCCTCCGCCGCCGCCGCCTCCGCTGCGGCCGATTCGCATCCACGGGGCGCGGACAGACGCACGGGGCCCGGGCCCAGCCGCTGCCTCCTCTGCCGCCGCCGTCGCCGTCACCGTCACCGCCCGCTCCTGAGCCTCCCCCGCCCCGCGTGCCTCCTCAGCCTCTTCCTCTGACTCAGCCACGTCATCCGGCCACCCCGGCACGCGCCGGAAGTGCCTCGCGACGCTGGGCCGCCACCGCCGTCGGGCCGAGGGAGGGCCCTGCAACCGCCGCCTGCGCGCCGGCTCCTCGCCGGATCCTGGGAGCCGCGGAGCGACCGGCCTGGCGAGCACTCGGGCAGGCGCCGAGCAGGCTGGGCCCCGGCGCAGTGGCCTGGCCTGGAACGCAAAGCCGAAGCCGCGTCCGGGCCGCGTCCCGGTGTTTAGGGTTGTGTAACCTTGGCCAAAATGCTTAACTTTCCCTGGCTGCCAAATGGGGCCGATCGTCTGACCTCCTGCCTTCGGAACTTGAGGGATCAGATCAAATAACCCTTTCCTGCCGCTGTGAATGAATCACGGGCTCCTGTAATCACCGTTAGGAGATATAGTTAAACTCGTACAGCGTTGGATAAGTGTTTTAAAGTTACTGAATACTTACTGGACCCCTACGATTCAATCAAGAAATGCTAAGTTTGCCATTCTTGTACATTTGTGTGTTTACTTAACTATTTCTGGGTCTCCTCTTCCCTGTCATAAATACCTCTTGGAGTGTAAGCTCCTCGGAGGAGAGGGCCTGTTTCCATATTTCCTGTACCTAGAACAGTGCCAGATCCGTAGTAGAGACTCAAAAAAAATCTTTAAAAAAAAATACACAAATGTGGCACCACCATTTACATAGTCCTCTAAGCCAAAAATCTAGGACTTCTCGGCCATCAGCAATCAACAAGTTCTAGCATTTGGTCTCTTAAAAGTGGTTAAAGAGTTTATTTTTCCTCTCCTTCCTCTGCCATTACCAACCAATTTTCCACATCACTATGTACTGCAAGAGTCTCCCAAGAGATCTCCACCACTGACTGATCTTCCTCCCCTGTTTATCATCCCCAACAGGTGCCAGAGTGATCTTTCTAAACAGAAACCAGATTATATCGCACACTCCCTTGCTTAAAACACTTCTTGAATGTTAGGTAAATCAATCATGGAGTCACCACCAAGGTTTTCATCTGCCAGGCACAATTCTGAATGATATTGGCTCATTAAATCCTCACAGAAACCCTATGCGGCAGATACGGTGAAAATGTTCATGTTACAGATGAGGTAACTGAAGCAAAAAGAGCTTGAGTGGCTTGCTGAAAGACCAGACCCACTCAGTCTGGCTCCATAATAGGTCTTTTTGTGACTAATGATTTACCAACTATACAGCCACTTTAAAAAACCGAAATAGGTAAGTACTGGCATGGAATGATAACCAAGAGGTACTGTTAAATTTTTAAGTTGAAGAAAATAATAGTTTAATTTCATTTTGTATGGCAATATGTTATCCTGCCCACAGAAAACAATCTGAAATATGACAAACCATTATCAGTGGTTAACTTTCTACTTTGTACATGCCTATAAATGTTTAGTTACTTTTTACAGTGAGCATGTGCTAACTATGTCATCAGATAAAAAGTTCCCTGCCAAAGGATAAAGTCCAAATTTTTGCCTATTTTATCCCTAATTTATTTCCCTAACTTTACCTTCCATCAGTCTCTATGCTCTGCCTTCACCCATATGTATTTTTACACCTCTGTGCCTTAGGTCTTTATACTCCCTTTATCTGGAATGCCCTGCTTCACCTTGTGCCTTCGATATTATCCTTTCAGACCTAGCTGATGATCACCTCCTCAGTGAAACCTTGCATGATCCCTTGGGAAATGGAGCATTCCTTCTTTAGGATTTCAGTAGCATTTGGCGTGTTGTGTTGTAATTATTCACATTTCCTCTTCTATACTGCATTCTGACCTTTTGATTGCAGAGACTATCATTTGTTTGTCTTTATATCTGTCCCAGCTGCTGAGATAGTGCTTGTCACATGTATTCAACTCTTTGCTGAATGAATGAAGACATTAACAAGTGAAAAGTCAAATAGCATAGCAGGATTTGAAGAATGCTTTCTAGATAGTGTAAGAAACATCACAAGGCAGTACATGATTAATTGCTGAATGAATCATACACTAGTAATTGCTGTAGAAATCAGAGGAGGCATCTTATACATCTTTGTATATCCTCCCAAGCACCTAGCAGGGTGACTTGCTCATCGTGAAAGCTCAGTCAATTCTGTGAATGAATAATCACTGCTCTTGAATGAAGTGATGATGGGCAATTGAAGAACAAGCCATGTAAGTGCTACATTAAGATGGATGTGTAGTTTCTTAAGTATCCATCACCACCCTCCACAGATTTGAGGTAGTATGCATGTGGCAGGTATTTTGGGGAGGACTGTGTTGGCGAATGCTTAAGAGGTAGGGAGGACACAAGAAAAAGTATAAAGTATTCATTTGGGGAGGATAGATTAAAACCAGGAAACTTTACACACAGAACAGAGAACAGGCATGACAGTGTACAAAAAGGAACACAAAAGGTGACCAGCTGTGCAAATTTTCAACAGGCAGTAAAAGCAATGGGCAATGAGAGAAGTGGAAAGACCCCTATTTCAGAGGTGTATTTGGGAAAGTTTAATGGATGGAAGAACCGGTAGAGCCATTAATTCAATGATGATTTATCGAGCATCTACGATGTACCAGGAACTCTGGTAGGTACTAGGGGAATCATGCTGATAAATGGCATTAGGTGATACAAGTCTGACAACAGTAGGTGTGGAAAGAAGGAAAGGGAGATAAAGTAACTGATTAGAGTAAAAGAAGTGTGGCTTCAAAGATCCTTGGAGCCTGATGACCTCAACAGGACAAAACAGGGCTCAGGTCACCATCAAAATTAGGGTTGTTTCACTAAATTGGGGAGTGAAAAACATTGACATACCTTATGTCACCACTTATTTCATCTAGATGAATGACCTCATTCCCTGACACCAAAAAGGATGGCAGCAGTGGGGGGGTGGGGGCGGAATGCCAGTGAAAGGAGATCCCCACCTCCCCCAGTGACTATACAGCCTCTTTCTATGGTAGTTCTAATAAGACTCCATTTTGGTTAAAGAGCTTATGACCAGCAAGCAATCCAGAAAACCAAAATTTCAGTCTTTTATTTTCATTCTGGGTAAACATGATCATCAAAAGTATTAGGTATGGGGACTGGGCACAGTGGCTCACCCCTGTAATCCCAGTACTTTGGGAGGCCAAGGCGGGCAGACTGCTTGAGCTCAGGAGTTCTAGACCAACCTGGGCAACAGAGTGACTCACCCCCATCTCTACAAAAAATACAAAAAAAATTATCTGGGCATGGTGGCATGTGCCTATGGTCCCAGCTCCTCAGGAGGCTGAGGTAAGAAGATGGCTTGAACCCAAGAGGTGGAGGTTGCAGTGAGCTGACTGTGCCACTGCATTCTAGCCTGGGTGACAGAGCCAGACTCTGTCTCAACAACAACAACAACAAAAAAGTGTTAGGGTATCTTCTGATTTCCATCATCAGCTAGTTTTTCTTTGAAATTCTATTTCTTCCTTCCACTTTGTTATGTTTGTCTTGCCAGTTATGTACTTCAGCAGGGTGGGGGTGGGGGACAGTTCATCTATTGCTATTTGCCATTTTCCACCTCCACCATTTCTGTTCTAGCTGTAATGTTCTAGACACGGATCTTCATGATTGCTCTGAGTTCTTTCTTTAGGAAGCCATTACTGAGAACATTTAGTTCTTGGACTGAAGAGCGACTAAGGCCATTAGTTTCTCTGTGTGGTTCCTCTTTCACTGTCTCTCAGTTCTTTAACTGATATAACAGTGAGACAGAGCAAAGAACAGCAGGTGCCACATAATAAAAAGAGCCTTGCCAGTTAGATGGTGACGCCACTAAGGCTGTCTCCCTGCTTCTTCCGACAAAGCGATTCCACACCCTCTTTCTGAGACTTAGACTTAACAGAGTTGAAGGGACCTAGACTGTTACCAAAGACACAACTCTCCACTTCATAGGTGATGAAACATAGAACAATGTAGTCAAGTTATATGAACTGGTCAAGTAAGTAGCACACCAAATTAAACCAGGTTTCCTGGCTTCCAAAACAATCTTCTCTTCCCTACACCATGCTAACTCTTACTGCAGAGATAGCAAAGTTTATCCTAAATGGGCTTTGGCGACTAGCCTAAATATTAAATGTGAACTAAATTGAACATGGACACAAACAATGGTCACCAAGTCCCAGAACGGATTGTGTGAGCCCTTTGAGACATTCATCCAGTGTTGTTTCGGATAAATCTCTATTTCAATCTTTTCCTATACGTTAGTTATTGAAAAACAATAGACAACCACAAAAACAAGTTGGCCTTTTTGTGTTCCTTGAGCCCAGTCACAAAGGGCCCTCATGACTGGACCTCATGCCAAACAACTCATTACAAAAACAGCTAGGGTTCCAGACTGCGCCAAAGCTTCGAGACCTCTCCTTGTCTACATGGATGAGTGGCTGACTGTGGAGCCCAGGCTGTTGCTTCCCAATCTGGTGGTGAATCCTCCATAGTCTGGTGAGTGTAAATATGTATGTATATTATACATATATCTTTTTCCTTCTCCCTTCCCATTGCCAGTGAAAGGAGATCCCCACCTCCCCCAGTGACTATACAGCCTCTTTCTATGGTAGTTCTAATAAGACTCCATTTTGGTTAAAGAGCTTATGACCAGCAAGCAATCCAGAAAACCAAAATTTCAGTCTTTTATTTTCATTCTGGGTAAACATGATCGTTGCAATTTGCTTATTATATCATTTGCTTATATCTGCATTGCCATTTACATGGGATAAAGCTTGTTTACCCTTAAAGGTATTGTGTGTGTGTCTTCTCCCCATGCGTGTTTCCCACACAGAACACCTACGAACCTATTTTTTATGATTTTTATGAGAAAATGAATTCCAAGTTGTGCCTCAGAATTCAGAATATATCTTTCAACCTCCTACTCATCCCCTCACCACCCTGGTGAACACAGTATCTGGCCAGCAGGAATGAATGAAGAAGACCATTTTATGTTCTTAATAACTTGCTTGGAAATGAACAGAGCACAATTTATCAAACCAAAGCAAATATTTATACAAAATTTATACAAAAACCCTCAAAATTGAGGATTAATGTTTAGGAAGAATTTTTCAGAATTATCCAAATTAACTGCTTGTCTTTCTCAGAAATAAATCTGTTACTAATGCTTCCTCCACCAACCAGCTGCAAAACCACACACTATTCTTTGAAGGAGGAACACAGAAAACCAGCTTACTTCCTGGGGCATATGGGATAGGGATCTAAAAATCCTAGTGATATGGGAATGACTAGAACCTTTTTTTTTTTTTTTTTGTAACAACAAAGCTAAAAGGGAGTGTGTAACTTAGCTTAATTTGTAAAAATATTCATGGAAGTCATCTATACATTACCACTTTGTGTAATTAAGGCAGAGCATTAGAGACTGTTCACATCATTAAATATGTCCAGTTAAATTATTAGATTACAACACCAACCTCTTGTTCATAGTCTCTCAGTCTTCAGCTGGGCACAGTGGCTCACGCCTGTAATGTCAGCACTTTGGGATGCCGAGATGGGTGGATCACTTCAGGTCAGGAGTTCGAGACCAGCCTGGCCAACATGGTGAAACCCCGTCTCTACTAAAAATAGAAAAATTAGCTAGGCGTGGTGGTAAGTGCCTGTAATTCCAGCTACTCGGGAGGCTGAGGCAGGAGAATCACTGGAACCCGAGAGGTGGAAATTGCAGTAAGCCAAGATGGCACCACTGCACTCCAGCCTGGGTGACAAGAGCAAAACTCTGTCTCAAAAAAAAAAAAATAGTCTCTCAGTCTTTATACTTTGTTGCTTATATAGTTGGATTATCTGCTCCTAGGTTTTAATATAAGATGAAATAAAAGTGCTAGCCTAGGAACTGGAGGCCAACTTACCTTAGGGGCAAAGGCAATGGTGGTGAATATACCCAACAGCTTCACTTTCTATGGAGCCAGCTTGTAAAATCTTGGGCAAGGATGGTGGCAGCAGAGCTGTCTGCCTAAGCATATGTAGAAAACTTTTAAATGGTTTCTTTGAACCCTAGCTTGTAGTGTCGTTTCTGATCCTCATTGTATTGGAAATCCATGGTTTTGTTACATAATGTATTCCTAAAAATGTGTACACGTGTTGAGTATGTGGAAGTTGAATATATTTATGTTATAAATGAGCAGTTCTGTTTCTGGAAAATGAAAATTTTCACCTCATCATTATAGACATTCTTTGATAAGACAGTCCCAGTGTTTCATCCAAATTCTTTCATTTTCTTCTTTTACATATAACCAACCATCTTGGATGTTAAAGGAACCACCAGTGAGGGCTTAAGATTCTGCCGCTTTTGACTCGGCACTCCTGATCCGTTCCATCCATGTCTCAAGTGTATCACATTCATGAGATACAGGCTTCTCATCAGCAATTTCAATTTTATGTTTTCTACTTATTTTTATATAAGAATACAATGCAACAAAATATTCATATATTGCACAAACAGTGATGTGCATACAAAGATGCTAACAACATTGGCTGGTAATAGGCTTTACCATGTTACAATCTAAATGCTTGTTCATAAGAGAATGTACAAAATTCTAAATTTGGCATCCAAAAGGGGGCTTACAGTTACTGAATATTTTTCCCAGCCCTATTTTTAAAATATCACTTTAATCAAATTCAAATTTGCCTACGATGGAGCCTGTCTATAAGTAACAGTAAGGGCAAGCATACCAACATCAAAATTCTTCTTCTTCTTATCTCACGTGCCTCTCTTTCTCCAAAATAAGTGACAAGGAGAGTAAAAGGACCACTGAGGGAACATTTGCAGAATGCTACTAAGTGCCAGGCCCTGTGCAATTATAGTATAATTAATTACTATAAACACTCTCGTGATGGACATGGCCAATAGTGTATTTTATGTCAAAAAACAAAAACAAAACCCAAGACTCCAGAAGCTGTTAAGAGTCCTTGTTTCAGTACTCTTCAGTAAGAGTCCTTATTTGCAGGACTGAGGAATGAAATTGAGAAAGAACCTTTAATCATTAGAAAAGGACCTAATAAAACTGTACTTAAATGGATCATTAATGTGGATTTTTAAATTTTGTGTGGGATAGAGAATAACCCCATGGGAAACAAACACATTTCGAATATTTTTTAAAGGAATAGTTCTGATTCTAATTTTACTGTATGTTTAGGCATCATTAAGGACCTCTGATTTGAAGGTAGATGTATGTGCCAGGGACTCCAAATTCATGATATATGTTAAGGCTCCACATTCTATGCAAAAATGGATTTACCAAGCATGATGGTAATAATAAGTATGTAAAAAATAGATAACTACAGTGGTACTTTGGTATCCATGGAGATTGGTTCCAGGATCCCCCAATATCAAAATCCACAAATGCTCAAGTCCCATATATAAAATGGCATAGTATTTGCATATAACCTACACACATCCTCCTGTATGCTTTAAATCATTTCTAGATTTCTTACAATATCTAATACAATGCCTACACATCACTTCATTTACATGAATTCAACATAGTTCTTGGCATGCAGCAAATTCAAGTTTTGCTTTTTGAAACTTTGTAGATTGTTTTTCAAATATTTTTGATTCAAGGTTGGTTGAATCCACGGACACAGAACCCATGGATTTGAAAGGTTGACTGTATTTCTATTTTAGGTTTGTTTTTCCTCCTCAGAACCCACAACAAAGAAAAAGTCAAAGGTCCTCCTCTCTCTCTTTATGACCAGAACTAAAACCTATAAAGGAAACAGAGCACTAAGTGGGGTCCTGGGAATCCCCAGCTTCTGGTTTCCAACCACTTCTAGATGTTCTCTGGAAACATAACTGTGTTGAAACCATAGTGAAGTATAAATTCCCAAATTGAAAAGAAAACAAATTTGGTAGTCTTATCCCTGGGAGATATGGAAGATGGAAAATTCTGCAAGACCAGTAGGCACTGATGAATTTCTACATCTGGGCATTTCTTGAGGGAGAGAGGAGCTGGCTATTTGGAGATAGAAAATGTGGTGACCTAGAACGAGCAGGCCCAGTCTAGACTAACTGTTTAACCAACTGAGTAGTCTTGGTTCCAGACTTCTGTGGAACCTCAGACTTGCCTTCTGTATAAGAGGAGTTTGTACTAATCACTGTCTAGTCTTTTTCAATTTGTTGTATGTGACCAGCCCTAGCACTTAAATACCCTGCTGAATATACAGAAAAGTAGAAGAATTATTTTAAAATTAGGTCACTTATCTTCTTACTTGAATACTACAAATCTTACATTATAACCTCTTCTAGAAATGAGGCTGAACTAGCAAATACATAAAGACTAATATAAGTGCATTTCAGTAAAATCACTGGTAAAGTACATTTATGATCATTCTTTTTAGGCTTCTGATATAGCAAATTAGAGGTAAGTATTTCAATTAAGTCTTCATCCTTTTTAAGTATATGGTTCAATATACTTGGTGATGGTGAATAAAGCCCTTAGTTTTTCACTTCTTCATGCCTTAATAAAGTCTTCGAGGCAAGCCCAAACCAGCAGGGCTGCAATATTGTCAGCAACGAGACTGATCTTAAGGTCAACAGTCATGCCGTAAAACTCAACATGAAGACATCATTAACAGGCTGAAGACTGTGAATCTTAAAAGTCCTGAAGTAGGCAGGTTTTAGGAGGTGGAATCAGCGTCCTCTGGGTGGAACAGGTGGAGGAGGATGTAAGGTCTCCCTGGTCGGAGGCCTGAAATGAAAGATAAAGCAACTCTATTTAAAAACTAATTTGATTAAATAGTTCTTAGGAATGCACAGTTTGTTGCAAACTTGGTATACTATGCAAAGGACACAATCCTCAATTAATGAGACAGGACACACATATGAATGTCTGAGTGACACACATGCTAGCTGTGGCTTGCAATCCTGGCGGCACATTAGAAACACCAGTGGAGCTTTTAAAAATACCAGTTCCAAGGATCCATCCAGACCCATTGCATTCTAAGCTCTAGAGGATAGGACTCAAGCCGCAAAGCTTTTGAATAGTTTCCCTCCCCAACCAGTTGTACTCACTAACCCTTTCATTATCTGATACTTTGCCATCTTGGGGCCTTGCTGACCCTGGAGAGACTGCCCCTCCCAGGATAAGCTAATTCCTAGAAACAGGAAACAAGCTACCTGCCTTCCAGTGCTAAACACGCCTTTCATATGTAAACCAACCAGTCCAGATGCATGCCCCAACCACCTCCTCTATGGGGCTTTCACACTCCACTTTATGGGGCCACCATCCACTTGCCCTTATCACCCTAGGGCCAGTTACCAGACAATGAGGGTCAGCCCTTAATGCCTCAGAGCCAATGAAATTATTCAAACTAGCCAATTCTAAATCTTACCCAGCCTCACCCATGGAAACCACAATAAAAGCTCTTGTCCACATTTTCCCCTGCTCCTCTGCCTCCTTACTGGCCCTGATGCTTCCCCATGTAGCCCCCTATGGGGTGATGTACCCCTCTTTTGGGATCTGTGAGTATATCAAACTATCTCTTCAATGGCAGTTGTCTCCTGAGCTGTTGACTTTGCCATACCTAAATAATAATGAAACCTAGATTTTAAAACACCACCAATTCTAATAGCCACGCAGGAGACACACTGTAGTAGGGAGATCTGTTGAGAGAGGAATTGGAATTTCCAAAGCCTGCTTCTCACGACTGCTTCCTCATGGGATAACTGTTATCCAAACTCTGCATCTGCCTTCCTAGAAACTTCCCTCCATGTTACTCTGTATGGTTTTTGAACAGTCTTAAATGACGTTCCAGGTAGACTAGGGTGAGTCTATTTACAGACAGGTTCAAGGATTACAGATGGCATTTCCACGTGTGTGCTGTAAAACCAATATTTAATTCCCTTGGAAGCAAGTCAATAAGAAAAAGAGCTTTGTTAGGTGCTATAATTGAACTGTGCTACCCTGGAGTTGCATACTTGAGGATTGATCGAATCAATGAGTAAATATGTACTAAGTGTCTCTTGAATGCAAGGTTTGTGTAGGTCAAAGAAATGACAACAGAGTTGGGAAAAGAGGGGCTGCCTCAGGAGCAAAAGAGGGAGGCAGTAGCAGAAAATAAGAATCACAGACAACCTTGGGAGGTCCCGCCCTAGTCCCAGGATTAGATGGCTTTGTCTGGTTGTCACTGAGTGACTGAGCTTCATACCATGAAAACAAAAGGATGGTCTCCTTCTGTCTCTTCAGCCTGCCCTGTGAGCTTGGGGTTATAGGAGAAAGCCAAAGGACACGATACCACTTTTACCTGAGCAAATTTAGCCTGCCTGCCTCTCTACCATCTTTCTTTCACTCTTTCTTTCAACAAACATTAATTTACTTTATATCTACTTCTGGGTATGGGATATAACAGCAAGTAAAGTGGTCATGGATTAGGCCCTCAAGATGTTACAAGTGTGTGGATGAGACGGACAATAGGCAAAAATCAGGAAACTCTACAGAGTGTTTTGATGGGGGAGATTCAGAACCTATAGGAACATATAGCATAGACATTTATGCATATATCTCTGTGTGTGCAAGTTCAGCGCCTCTGAAATTGTTTTCTTATCTGCCAAACAGAGGTACTGATCCCTACGTTGGAGTACCATGTGAGGCTTGGAGATGACAGTAGGAAAGTAGGTAGCAGTTTGTGGCTTGGAGTAGGCACTCAGCAAGTAAAGCTAATAATATAATAATGATGATTAAAGATCTACTCTGAAATCTGTTCCCCAGTTATGCCTCATGAGCCTTACATTTTATCTTCCACCACAAAGACAGCCATGATTTTCTCCCAGCCCCTCTTCCTCTTTCTGCTGCCACACTCTGCAGTTGGAGTGAGCCTATGGGCATACCCTCTCTAGGTTTCATTCTGAGGAACAACTCCAGCTAAAGATTGGAAGCTACATCTCAAGGAAACTTATTCATAATTTTAGACCTGTAATTATAGTGTTTGTTTGTTTGTTTGTTTGTTTTAAGACATGGTCTCACTCTGTCGTCTAGGCTGGAGTGCAATGGCGCAATCACAGCTTACTAGAGCCTCAACCTCCCAGGCTCAAGCAGTCTGCCCACCTCAGCCTCTCAAGTACCTGAGACTACAGGCACACACCACCACACCCAGCTAATTTTTTTTTTTTTTTTTGTAGAGATGGGGTTTTGCCGTGTTGCCCAGGCTGGTCTCAAACTCCTGAGCTCAAGGGATCCACTTGCCTTGGCCTCCCAAAGTGCTGGGATTACAGGCATGAGCCACTGTGCCTGGCCAGGAGTGTGAAGTTCCTTTCACTCATCTATAACCCACCTGTATATGGTGGTAGATGACTTGATGGCTACTTTTTTAGGAGCTCCGGAAGTCCAACCCAAATAATACCAATCTATCCTTCCATCCATTCACTTAACACAGTGAATATCTTTTAAGTTCCTAGTATGTGCCCGTTACTCTGCCAGGCACTAGGGATAGGAGAAAAAAAATTAAAAATCAAAAGTAGTGTCTCACAGGTTCACCATTCATTGAGGAGACACATCTACACAAGGGTTGCAACACGGAGTGTATTATTAGAGTATAGAATATAATAGGAATGCTTGGGAAACCAAAAGAAGATTCACTCTGCATGGGAACATTAGAGAGGGCTTCACAGAGGAGGTGATGTTTGAACTGAGTCTTAAAGGATGTATAGGAATTTTCTAAGCAGAGAGTAGAAGGGAGGAGGAAGACAGCATTCCAGGCAAAAGCAGCAGATTGGGCAAAGAAACAGTACAGAGTGGCAGAGCATTGGTGAATACAGGAGAGGGGTAGGACTTGAGCTAGGCAGAACCAAAGAATGCTGAAATACACAGAATTAAATGTGAAGGCTTGTATGCCAGGCAATGGCATCATCAGCTATTCCTGTTCTAGAAAGGGCACTCTGACTGCAATGTGGAGGAGGGAGTGACTGGAGGAAGGGAGGTAAGTGTGGGCCTTCAGGAATGAACTTAGGTGCTAGCAGATGGAAAAGAGGGTGGATCTAACAGCTGAAAGAGCAGCAGAATGGACAGAGCCTGAAGACACACTGGATATGAGAGCTGTGAGGGGGGCAGGGATCAAGGATGACTCCCAGGTTTGGGGCTTAGGGAAGGGAGAGAATGGTCCCACTATCTCAGGCTGGGAACTCATGAGAAGGCGGCAGTTTGGGGTAGAGAATGGTAGGTGCGTCGTCGAGTTCAGTTTTGCACAGGCTATGTTGGAGATACTGGTGGGGTCCCTGAGTGAGGATCCCCTGTCAACTGTAGGAAAGAGAAGGCTGAGATGGAGATGGAGACTTGGGGTCTTTGTCTGCTGGTGGCAATTCAAGCTGTGGGACAGCATGTAGAGTGAGCAGAAGCATGGACCAGAACTGGGATGGAGTGGGATGGAGGCTGTACCACCAGTGCTGTTTGGTTTGGGCCAGGGGTTAGCGGGGAGGTTAGAACACAGGCAGAGAAGAGGTGCTGATTCCTAGATCTGACAGTGGAGTCTAGGACACCAACGCCAGCCTTCAATCCTGTCTGTAAGCAGGTCAAGCATTGAAGCCATTCTGGAGAGAGACCCATTTTATTATCTGCTCAAATATCTCCTTATTTTATGGTGAAAATTGCGTACTCACACATCTTTTTTCACACCAAAAATGCACCCAAACCCTAAGTTCTATCAATTACAAACTGCTTTGTAAACATTATTTCTTTAGCAAAAAATGTTTTCCTCCTTTTCTCTCCCCATCTCTATCATAACATGCTTCCAGACTCCCCAGACAACTCAACCACCATCTCTTTTTACAAATTTACATGCTTCCTAGTTTCTATCCTTTAATTTTTGGAACCTGTTTCCCTGGTTGTTTTCTCTTTCTCTTCTGTTAACAAAATCCCACCGAAATTTTATAGCTAAAGTTTCAAACTTGACAACTCTTTTATCTTGGTACATTTAGACAACTGCCTTCAAAGTCCTCAACCCTCCGGAATAAAAGGCCTTGGATCTTGAACCGCCTCCTCTAATACTTAGACTTTCTTGGATAGGTATAAAACAATGCCTATGAGATGAAGTCTGGTAGGTTTGCCACACAGAGCAAGTCTCAACCCAATCTCAAGCCCCAGTTTCTACATCTGCAAAATGGGATAACACTAAATACCTACCTCTTAGGATTGTGGAGAGAATTAAACAGGATAATGCATTTAGTATGTTTAACAGAATACCTGCCACATAGTAAGTTTCAATAAATAACAGCATTTATCACCATCACTGCTCTTGGTAAGCCCTCCAATCACCAACTATGTAATAATTTTCAAGCAACAGAGCACAATGCAAATTCAGGTGATGGGACTAGATTGCTGCTAAGCTTCCTTCCAGGACTAATATTCTAATCCATGCCCTCCAGTCTACACCAGGGAGGCGTGCCCGGTGGATGTGGCACAGCTTGGGCCTGGGCGATGTTTGAGTAGCAAGTGCCAACACACAAATGTTGCTGTGAGCACATGGGAAAGTGATAAATAGCAAAGGGAGAAATGGAAAGATCCTTAGCACAGAGCCAGCTTCTCGTTCCAGAAAACCAGAAGAAAGGCCTCCTTGTTGCACTTTCTCAACAAATTCCACTGATGAGCTTCATCTAAAAGTTTCAAAATGCAAAAACCAAACCAAAACCCTGGTTGAAGAAAAGCTTCCTCCTTCCTTATGCCCCATCAACACATGACCATTTTATTTTAAACATCAAAGAATTAACTCCTGAGACAGGCCTTGGCTTTTATTCCCAAGGGCTCCTTTATGCATCTGTGGACTCACAGCTAGCTGTGACCACTCTGTCCGTACTCCACAAGACCAGACCATAAAAAGGTTCCTACCAGAGGCCCAAGTATCAGATAAACAAAGGCATACATCAGAGTCTAGTAAATTAGTCAAATTATTTGGTCTAATGCTCATCTTCAAATCTCTAGATATTAACTCCTCTCTTGTATAAAATAAAAAATCACTTATATTGCTGAGTTCTTACTATAGGCCAAGAACTCTATGCTTATGACTCTGCAGAAAGTTCTGTTATTATCCCCATTTCATAGACAAAGAAATTGAGGCTGGGCATGGCGGCTCATGTCTGTAATCCCAGCACTTTGGGAGGCCGAGGCGAGCAGATCACCTGAGGTCAGGAGTTCGAGGCCAGCCTGGTCAACATGGTGAAACCCTGTCTCTATTAAAAATACAAAAATTAGCCGGGCATGGTGGCAGGTACCTGTAATCCCAGCTATTTGGGAGGCTGAGGCAGGAGAATCACTTGAACCCAGTAGGCAGAGGTTGCAGTGAGCCGAGATCACACCACTGCACTCCAGCCTGGGTAATAGAGCAAGAATCTATCTCAAAAAAAAAAAAAAAAAAAAAAGGAAATTGAAATACATGAAAGTTAAAGTTAAATAGTTCTTGCAAGTTTGCAAACAGCTGCTGGAGACTTGACCCCAGGTAGGGGGGCTCTAGAATCAGGCTTCCCACCACCATACGATGTGGCCTGTCACCTGCATTTTCATTTCCAATTCCTTCATATTTTCTGTTCCCCAAAAGGCACTGTCCCTACAGTCCAGCCAAGGGAATTAGTTATTGGAGAGTTGAATTCTAGCCAAATGGATAAAAAGTATTTTAAAAGTTGACATTTTTCAATGTATTTCATTTATGAAACATTGCATTTGCTATTTAAAGTATTTGCAACTAAATAATGCATCACTTAATTAATGAAGGGTCCATATTAAAATATGTCCAATGGAGCAGGCATTTCAGTTAGCTCTGTGCTTATTCTTTTTTTTTTTTTTTTTTTTTTTGAGACAGAGTCTCGCTCTGTTGCCCAGACTAGAGTGCAGTGTGGAGCATGATCTCAGCTCACTGTAACCTCTGCCTCCCGGGTTCAAGCGATTCTCCTGCCTAAGCCTCCCGAGTAGCTGGGACTATAGGTGTGTGCCATCATGCCCAGCTAATTTTTTGTATTTTAGTAGAGATGGAGTTTCACCGTATTAGCCAGGATGGTCTCGATCTCCAGACCTTGTGATCCACCCGCCTTGGCCTCCCAAAGTGCTGGGATTACAGGTATGAGCCACTGTGCCCAGCTCTGTGCTTATTCTTTAGTCATCTTAGGTGTTTCCAAGTCCTATTCTCCCCTAGGATTCAGAGATAAGGGAAAAATTTCATATCAGTTTTGATGTTACCTCTGTGAGGCAGCTCTCGGAGGCACCCTGGGGGGTCTCTCAAGGGACATGGTGGGTGCCCCATCCACTTGTGGGGGACCTGGACTGCGGCTTCTGGTAACCTCAGGGACTTCATTATCCTACAGCAAACAAGATGAGAAAGAAAGGCGAAAACTACATTCAGCAACCAGCACAGCCGGACAACCATAACCCAAAAGCCCCTTGGTCCTCCTTAGGCTGGGGCTGAAGGTTGTTCGCAAACTGAAAATCAACCCAGCCATACCTGGCAGCTTTCCATTTCCTCCTGAAGTCACTGAGGACGACAGTCTGGCCCCAATGATCATTAATTGCCTGAATTCTAATTCCTTGCTACTCAAAGTGTGCCCTGTGGCTGGTCAGCATCAGCATCAGGTGGAAGCTTCTTAGAAATGCCCACTTAAGGACCCTTCTCAGAAGGCTTCAGAGTTGGCAGTGACCCATGTGGCCCCTCCTGCTTGTCCCAGCCACTGGTCCCCGGATCAAGCTAGACACATGTCCCAAATTGAGCCAACTTGGAATGGGGCCTCAACCTAAAGCAGCAACTTACTCCCTGCTCGGCGGCCTAGTGGACTCAGGGGACTGGAGAAGCAGAAGGCAGCAGTGTGAGGGGAAAGAAAGCGGACGTGTGCAGAGAAGCAGAGACCAAAGAACTTTTGGGCCTGGGACACACAGAACAGTGACCCCGGCTCCCTCTGACAGGTCCTGCAGCTCCTAATCCAGCCCCGAAGGGTGGCCCCTAACCCTGGATCCCCTGAGACTCATCGGCTCCTTCCCTTTTGGTTTCACTAGTAAGAGTGGATTTCCAGCTATTTCCTTCCTTCCTTTCTTTCCTTCTGTTCTATTTATTGAGGTGAAGTTAACATAAACGTAACCATTTTAAAGTGGACAATTCAGTGGCATTGAGTGTATTTATAATGTTGTGCACCCTCTATCTAGTCTAGTCTTAAAACATTTTCATCACCCACAAAGAAACCCTGTGTGATGGTGAATACTGACTGTCAACTTGATTGGATTGAAGGATGCAAAGTATTGATCCTGGGTGTGTCTGTGAGGGTGTTGCCAAAGGAGATTAACATTTGAGTCAGTGGGCTGGGGGAGGCAGACCCACCCTTCATCTGCGTGGGCACTATCTAGTCAGCTGCCAGTGATATAAAGCAGTCAGAACAATGTGAAAAGGAGAGACTGGCTTAGCCTCCCAGCCTACATCTTTCTCCCATGCTGCATGCTTCCTGCCCTCAAACACTGGACTCCAAGTTCTCCTGTTCTGAGGACTTGGACTGGCTTCCTTGCTCCTTGGCTTGCAGGCAGCCTATTTTGGGACTCTGTGATTGTGTGAGTTAATACTACTTAATAAACGCCACACACACACACACACACACACACACACACACATCCCTCTAGAGAACCCTGACTAATACCCCTGTCCCCATTAAGCAGTTTCTTCCCATTCCTCCTCCCTCCAGCCCTGGCAACCACCAATCTGCAAACTGTCTCTGTGGATTTGCCCACTCTGGCATTTCATATAAATGGAATCCTATAATATATGACCTTCTGTGTCTAGCTCCTTTCACCTGGGTTTCTATCTCTTGCAATGAAACGACCCCTAGGACAAGATAGGTGGGGTGGAGTCCCAGTTCTCACCTCATTGTCCCCTTCCATCCCGCTGCTCACACTGAGGAGGCTCCGGGTGCTGGAGCGGTTACTCGTGCTACCTAAAGGGTAGAAAGAAAATCAGCCGGATTGAGGATTCTTTCAGGCTAAAATAAAATAGAGAACTCTAGCACTTACTTAGTTTTATTGATATAAATAATACATAAGCTGTAAGTATGGGGTTCTTCAAACTTTGGCCATCTTATAATTTTTGTTTTTTTAGAGACAAGGTCTTGCTGGAGTGCAGTGGCATGATCACAGCTCACGGTAGCCTCAAACTCCTGGACACAAACAATCCTCCTGCCTTAGCCCCCTAAGTAGCTGGGACTACAGGTGTGTGCCGCCACGCCTAGCCAATTTTCTTTCTTTCTTTTTTTTTTTTTGTAGCAACAGGATCTCACTCTGTTGAGCAGGCTGGTCTTCAACTCTTGGGCTCAAGAGATCCTCCTGCCTCAGCCTCCCAAAGTGCTAGAATTACAAGTGTGAGCCACTATGTCCAGCCTTATACCATTTTATTAGAGTTCAGTTTTTCTTTCAGCATGAAAAAAATTCACTTTTTGATGACTAACTTTGGCATTACTGCTACCATTGACTGAGGGCTTTGAAAATGTGATTGCCATTTAACCCCTATGAAAATCATGTTTGATATTAGTGCTCCAAATTGAAGGACAAGACAGCAAAGGTGTTCTGATTCTCAGCTCTTCAGTGGTATTTCTAAAATCTGCAAACTAACTTTGTTGCTGCAGTTTTTTACTTAGGAATTCTAGCAAATGGGTATGTATCACCCATGCAGACATGCCTTATAATAAGCGGCCAGACCCTTTGACACAAAACAAAATGCAAAGTACACACTCAAAAGTATAATTTTTTTTTCCCCAAAACTGAGTTTTGCTCTGTTACCCAGGCTGGAGTGCAGTGGCACAATCTCAGCTCACTGCAACCTCCGCCTCCCAGGTTCAAGCGATTCTCCTGCCTCAGCCTCCCAAGTAGCTGGGACTACAGGCACATGCCACCACGCCTGGCTAATTTTTGTATTTTTAGTAGAGACAGCATTTCACCATGTTAGCCAGGCTGGTCTCAAACTCCTGACCTCATGATCCACCCACCTTGGCCTCCCAAAGAGCTGGGATTACAGGTGTGAGCCACCATGCCCAGCCCTCAAAAGTATAATTTATGTTCATGGTCAGAATTGTCACTGTGTGAGTTTAGGCACTTGAGGCTTTTCAGTTGGGAATTTATCGCCTGCATCATTAGAATAGCACCATCCAATAGAACTTTCAGGGCATGTTTTATTATGTGTTATCCAATATGGTAGCAAGTGGAAAACATGGCTAGTACAACCAAGGAAATGAATTTTAAATTTTATTTAGTCGTAATTAACTTAAAAATTTAAATAACCACATGTGGCCGGTGGCTACCATACTGGACAGCACAGCATTTTAAGTCCCAGCATATGGTGATCTAGCAGAGAAGAAGAAAGAGTAAGAGTTAATCAACAAAAACAAGGAGATCTTAACTTTAATTTTCCAATATTCTCACTAACAACATAGTCAAGATCTTAGGTTTGCTGAATTTCCACTTCAAATAGCTCCTGGTCATGTAAGTTTATAGGTAGTCAAAAAATAGTTTTGACTGCATTCTGATATCAACTTTGAGCAAATTAATTTAGATGTTAGCTTGAATAGAGCAGGTTAAGATTATAAGTTTAAATTCTTTTTGGGGGGCAGATTTTTAAATTTAAAATAATATGTCAAAATGTTTCTATAATCCAGGGGATGCAGAATTTGTTTATTAAGGAACATGAGTCAGGTGCGGTAGCTCACGCCTGTAATCCCAACACTTTGGGAGGCCGAGGCGGGTAGATCACGAGGTCAGCAGTTCAAGACCAGCCTGGCCAAGATGGTGAAACCCCGTATCTACTAAAAATACAAAAATTAGCTGGGCGTGGTGGCGGGTGCTTGTAATTCCAGCTACTTGGGAGACTGAGGCAGAGAACTGCTTGAACCTGGGAGGCAGAGATTGCAGTGAGCCAAGATCATGCTACTGCACTTCAGCCTGGGTGACAGAGCGAGACTCCGTCTCAAATAAAAAAAAAAAGGAACATGTGATCCTGTCGCTTTCTACTCGTTACCGATACGTAACACTGCTCAAGGACCAGGCATTTTCTCCCTACTCTTCCCAGCCCACAGCCCACTCCTGTCCACAAGTTTAAAACCTCCTCAGTCTCTAAGGCTCAGGACAAATGCTATCAAAACCTTCCCACATTCCCCCAACTAAAAGTAACCCCTCGGGCCCACGGGCCCCCATCCCTTTGTGGCTAAGCCTCCCCATGCCATTCCTCATTGTCCATCACATTCCCTTATGATGAGCCATAATCCTTTTGAAGTTTATCTACTAGCAAGAAGTAATAAAGCTGCCACAGGCACCGGCTCCATGACTCCGGAAACTCATAGCCATCAGTTCCCCCTGTCCCTTCTGCTGGCATTCTTAAATCTTCAACCCCAGTGTTTGGCTCTGAACCTTGGGCCTGGCCCTCCTCCTCTCCAGGCTGATGACTTGCTTGCCCAAATCCCCTCTAGGCTGCACAGTTGTTAGGAGACTCTCACCCCAGCTCCCATCATCTTCACACTTGCCAGGGGGAAGGGGGGCAGTGCCCACCCCTTGGTAGGCTTCTACCATCAGGGGAGAAGTACCGGACAAGCATCTAATGCCATGCTACTCTTGTACTTTCTCTCCTCCGTTACAAGCCTCCTAAGGACAGGCTCTGGTTCTTTTTCATCTTTGGTTCTCTAGCATACAGCCTAGCTCAGTATACACAGAGCTGTCCTCAGTATTTGGTGGATCAATGAGTGAGAGAAAAAAATGACCATATAAAAGTATACTATGATTCTTAAGAACCTTAGTTACACTTGAAATTAGAGTTTGTTTTAAAAAAGAAAGAAAAAAAAAAGAAACTTGGGCCAGACAACCTAGGAGGTCAACAACCTTTCTGTTATGAAATTTTTGTTCTCTTAAACATAACACTAGTATCTGGCGCTTGAATTTTTAGTTATAACCAGATTTAACCTGCAACTGTTTTTCCACGGTTCCCAAGAGACGACAGCTGCACCATAATACAAACAGTGCTTTTTTAAGGGTGTGACTCAGGGGGTTAAGGGGCAGTTGGTGGATAAGCTGGGCCATCCTCACTCTCCCTCCCTGCCATGGGAACTATTTCTATTTGGAAGGCAGTACAGCCCCACAGTTGAAAGCACAGGAAGATATGGATGTGAATCCCAGACCCCCTGCTTGCTTGCCAAGAGACTTGGGGCAAGTCGCCTACCCTCTCTGTTCCATTTTCTTATCTAGAAACTCACAGCATTGTTATATAAAATGAACCCGAAAATATGGTGACATGCTTGGCACAGGGCACGCAAAGAGTAAGCATTTGATTAACGGAAGCAGCTATCTGCACCATTATCCATTTCAAGATGGTAAGACTAACCCCTAGTGACCCCCAGTCAATGCCCCCGCCCAGGATCCACACCTTTGTATGCTCCTGCCCCCTGCCGCACTCTAGCTTAGCCACATGACCTGCTTTGGCCAATATGGCATTAGCAAGTGTGATGCAAGCCAAAGCTTGATAGGCACTAGCACACTGGGGCTTTTCCTTTTGACCTATTCCATCTACAGATCTTGTTGCCATATAAAGGCTATGAATTAAAGGCCACGTGTAGAGAGGCCCTGGAGGATGAGAGGTTTCCTTGGATGTTCCAGCCCAAGCAGAGCTTACAGCTGAATGCTGACTCATGAGTGACCCCAGCCGATGCCACAGAGGAGAGATGAACCACCATCCCCACTGAGTCCTGTTTAAGTTGTAGGATAAGGCATAAATAAAGGGTTGTTTTAAGCCACTATGTTTTGGCATGGTTTATTGCATGGCAATAGATAATGGAAACTGTATAACGAGCTGGGTGCAGACCACAGCCACAAAGTAGAGTAAAATCCATTGGTCTGTCATTTAGTAACATTTTCTAACCAGATAAGCCAGCCAACCCTGGGCACTAAACCACTGCACAAGGGGAAAAGTACAGTTTATTCTTCCCATCTTCTCCTCACCCCAGGCTATCCCCCAAAAAACGTATACACAAAATCTGTTCAATTACTCTGAACCTGAAACTAGTGCATTTGTCTTGTTAAATTTCCAGCTGTCACTCTCCTCACCAACCCTGGAATGCACTGTCCTCACCCTGAGAGGGTTCTACCACTTCTCCTCTCCTCTTCCACAGGTCTGAGAGACAGAGATAGCCAGCTGTCCCTTGCTCCTTCTGCCACTTGTGATCCCTGAGGACATCTCTCCCATTCCTGAACTTGTCAGAATTCTCAAATTGCTCCCAGTGGGCTTTGCATACAAATGATCACCCCCATTAAGTAAGGGGAAGTTTTCTCCTCTGTCCAGACTAGACTTCCCAGGCAGTCATGTGATAGGCTGTGGGTCTGTTTTGACAGGTAATGATGGCAGAAACATTCACCTGAAAGAGAAAGGAGCTAGGATCTACTCGCACCTTTGCCATTCACTGGCTATGTAACCTTGGGCAAAATTCTGTCTCTTTCTGGGTCACAAATACCCCATCTATACAGGATGAAGGAAAACTAGCTCAGAGGTTCTTGACCTAAGTCCATGGGTGGGCAAAATTGTGTGTGTGTGCACACATACACATGCATACACCTGTGCGTGGGTCTGGGGGACAGAGCCAAAGTATATATCAGATTCTCAAGGAGCTTTGTGATGCAGAAAAGATTAAGAACTCCTGGGTTAGATAACCTTCCTGCTCCAACATGCATTATGGGGTTCTCTGCCTGACATTTAAGGAGATATGAGTCCTGAAATTCAGTTGCTCTCTGGCTCCTTTATTGCTTTCCTAGCTGTTTTGTTAGCACTGAAATGTATGAAATAAGAGAAACTCGATCTATGTGGCTTGTGAACCAGTGTGTCTGGAGTCAGCTAACACTGCCCTAGATACGGGAACAAAGCCCTCAGCTCCTGCCTGGTGCATCAGGCTGTATTGTCTGTGCAATCAGATGATTATTGAAGCCTTCCAGCCAAAAGGAAGGCATTTCCTAATTAGATCCTCAACTTGCCTGTAAAGTTGGAATGTTTGAATTTGAGTCTATTATTTTCTTTTTTTCTTCTTTCTTTTTATTTTACTTGAGTCCATTATTTTCTGATATTTCTGACTCTGTGCCCTTTCCCTTGCTTTGTTGTAGTTGAGGAAGCAGCAAAGAATGGTGGCTAAGAGTCTTGGCTCTGTATCCAGAATGAGTTCAAATTCCGGCTACTCCACATTAGCTATTTAACCTAGGCCGGAGCACTAAGCCTCTTGCTTCCTCCTCAGTAAACAGAGATGACAGTGCCTATTTCATAGAGCTTCAGTGAGAATTAAATTAGATAATCTATAAAAAGGCTTAGAATATAGTAAATGCTCAATACATGTTAACTATTAGTATTAGGTTTTGATATTTAGAAAAGGGCTAGAGTAATAATTATCAAGTAACCGGGCTTCATGGGATACGAAGCAAACCTCATAGGCAAACGGTAACTCTGCCCCACCTTTTACACCTCTCAAACCCAAACCAGGCCCCACTGGAGATCTCCTGGGCTCTTAAGAGGATGTTTCCTAAGGCCCAAGGGCGCCAGCTGGAGCCCAGCCGAGAAGACCCCACCCCCTGCACCCCCAGCTGCTCACTTGCTGTGCTGGAGGTGCTGTCTGTTTTCCAGTCTCCTCGTCTCAGCTCCGTCCTGGGGGGAATGACACTTTTCCTGGGGCCACTCTCATAGACTCCAAACTCCACTTTCACAGGCAGGTGCTGTGAGTGCCGAATTGGGACCGTGATCTCCAAGTCTGGAATTGGAGGAAAGAGGGATAAGCTGTCAAGATACCAGACTGTCACCTACCAAGCTGCCCGGCGGCTTCCCTCCGCCTGGAGCCCGCAGGGGAGGGGAGGGGAAAAGACCATGGGAGAGGGAGCGGCCCTGGGTTGGTGGCCCCCTCCCCTTCAGCACTGAAACTACTGAATCCTGTGTGGCTGTCACTGAGAGACTGAAGAGAGGGATAGAATAATGTGAGAAAGGGACAGAGAAGTGCTTCTGCATCAGGGAGCAGAAAGAACAAACCATAAGAGAAAGGTTTGGGCCCTCAGCCCTGCCACTTAGCAGCTGTGGAACTCCAGCAAGACAGCTCTCCTCTCTGAATCACTACCCTTATCTGAGGAGGGGTATGTCCATCCTTGACTGTAGAAACAGGCTGCGCTATGCACCAAGCACAGTTCTGAAAGCTTTGGTATTTTTCACTCATTTAACCCTCACAACACCCAAGAAATAAATATTATTATCATCAATGCCAGCAGAAACTAAGGTACAGAGAAGTGACGTAGCATGTCCTGTCAAACAGCTGGTAAGCGGCAGAGCTGGGATTTGAACCCAGGCTCCGGAGTCTAGGCTCTTAACCACTGCTCATACAGCCTCTCACTCTCTGCATAAGGGATGGATGGTGGGTGGGTGGGTGTGGGGTGGGTGGCCCACACGCACAGTCATGATCCAGAAAGCTAATGAAAGGAGGTCCTTCAGGCCTATGAAGAATTTTGTGACTTGCAAGGCCCATGGGGTAAAGAGAGCTGATGCCTTTGTCGAACAAAGCACTGACCTGACCTTCTTACTGGCTTAGCCCTGCCCAGAGGTTATCTCTATTCCTCCCTACATTTCCAATGCTGGATTCTAGGAGCAGAAAACAGTTCCTCTGATGAGTAGAAAAAAAGTTTGGGGGCAGCAGCACCAACTTCTTCCTGAAGGCAAGATGTGCTCCTGGCTCAAGACTCACCCGGCTGCCTAGGACCTTCTCAAGCCCAGGGGCAGGGTTTACACAGCGGTGGCTATACAAACTTGGGTAGAAGAGGTGTTAGCTTTGGGGACGTGTGCTTTTATCTTCTGGTACCACTTCCTCCTCTACCTCTACCCTTCTAGGGGACAGGCGTGGCAGGAAGTTCAGAGAGTCCAGGGGCAGAGGTGGCTCCACCTACCAAAGCCAGAAATCTGGCGGGGTGAATGGATAAACTGGAACAGGATGAAGGAGCAGCCAGAGGAAAGGGCACACCAAATCCCCCAGTGAACATTCGGCACAGAGAATGATCAGAGTGGATTGTTGGCTTGCATAGGCATGAGCCTTCCTCATCTGGAGACTCCGGCTTCAGGTGTAGTGTATGGTCCAAGTGTCCAACCAGCTTCCTAGGTTTTTGTGTAATCCAGGTCTTTTTCACATGCTGGGGCTCTCTTGGCTACAACCATGCCACGGAAACACCCACCCCAGCTTGGAGCTACTTGGGCAAAAGATAGCCAAGGGCACTCTCACATGGGTGGCACCCACAGTATCTTAGAGACCAAATGAGTGTCAGTCTTTTTATTTTTCTTCCAGCTCTGGCCTAGATTTTTAAAGATCATTTTTTGTTTGTTCATTCGTTCATTTGTTTGTTTGTTTGAGACAGAATCTCACTCTGTCACCAGGCTGGAGTGCAGTGGCACCACCTTGGCTCACTGCAACCTCCACCTCCTGGATTCAAGCAATTCTCCTGCCTCAGCCTCTGAGTAGCTGGGACTATAGGCATGTGCCACCACACCCAGCTAATTTTTGCATTTTTAGTAGAGACGGGGTTTCACCATGTTGGCCAGGATGGTCTCGATTTCTTGACCTCATGATCCACCCATCTCGGCCTCCCAAAGTGCTGGGATTACAGGCATGAGCCACTGCACCCAGCCAAAAATCATTTTTTTTTAAAGGGAGATTCTGGTTTGCTTAATTAGCTCCAAGGAGGCAACTTTTTAATCTCAACTAATTCTATAAAGAAGGAAAGTAAAATACACAGGAAAAAAACAGGGGGTCAAAAGTTCAAAAAATCAGGTAGAACCAGTCCGAATGTTTATAAAATCCTGATATCTTTGAATAAAGGTACAATGCTAGGAATAATTATCACGATTATATTGCATAGTGCTTTCCCAAAGTGCATTTAGATGCATTATTATACCTCCTTTAAACTTCATGACTTCTCCATTAAGTAAGTAAGTCAGGTATAGCCCCCAGTGAGGAAACTGAGGCACAGAGTGGTTAAAGGAATTGGATCATAAAGTGATTCAGTGACAAAACGGGAATCAGAACCCAAGTTTCCTGGGACCCGGTTAGCTCCTCTATGTCCTGCTCCACAGGACACACCCAGAACACAAATATTGATTATCTTCTCTGTGAGGCCATGGCTCTCACCAGCCCTTCTCTAATTTCCTACGCCATCAGCGCTCTGTACCAGCCCAGTAAGAGCAAACAATCCCCTGGGGTTGAAGAAAAATGGTCAAGTTATTAAGAACAGTCTTAATTTTTAATTCTCTTTGGCGTTCTAACCCAAATTAAAGATTAATATTTTTTCCCTAAGGCAAACAAAGTTCTCAAATGAAAAATCAGTCATTGTGTTTAGAATGGGTTACATTCTTAGAAAAGATCCTTTAAGCACAAATCTTATTCATCAACCCTAATTTTCCTATAGATCAATGTTACCGTGTGTCAATAATATGTCATATTTACTCAACCATAAATGATGCCCTCGCTTTGGCAATTGCCACCCTTGGACCTCAGCATGCAGTACAGGGTCCAACTTCCAATTGCCTGAGGCTGTTTCTCGTAGCAGAATGTGTAACGTCCCAGCTGTCTCATCGCTCAGGTGGGTGTACTCCACTGGCTCCTACCTGTCTCACTTCTCCATCCCCCACCGCATTCCCTGGGATCACCTCCCACACCAGCTATTTGCTCTCAAATCCTTATCAGGGGAGAAAAGTTCTAGAAATGGAAGTGGTAATGCTGGCACAACACTGTGAATGTACTTTATGCCACTAAATTGTATACTTTTTTTTTTTTTTTTTTTTTTTTGAGACAGAGTCTCGCACTGTCGCCCAGGCTGGAGTGCAGTGGTGCCACCTTGGCTCACTGCAATCTCCACCTACCGGGTTCAAACAGTTCTCCTGCCTCAGCCTCCTGAGTAGCTGGGACTAGAGGCACGTGCCACCACACCCAGCTAATATTTGTATTTTTGTTAGAGACAAGGTTTTGCCATGTTGGCCAGGCTGCTCTCAAACTCCTGGCCTCAAGTGATCCTCCCACTTCAGCCTCCAAAAGTGCCAGGATTACAGGTGTGAGCCACCACACACAGCCTGAATTATACACTTTAAAATGGTTCACATGGTGAATTTTATGTTATGTATATTTTATTACAATAAGAACCACTAACAAGGAGGCCCCTGGGGCCAACAGGCAGAACATTCTCCCATATAGATTGCTTGCCGTGCCCGGTCATTCTTCTTTGGTATCTAATTATATACAGTTTAATCTCTCAATAGTTATGACTTGATTAAAGCACCTGATATAAAAAGTACAAATACTTAACATCCCTCTCCCCAAAATGTCCTTGTCAGAGGGTCTGCTTCTTGGAGAGTGGGGGATGGGGGCTACAGATGGGCAAACTAAGCCATGTTCTTTTGGTAAATTGTAGACATTGACCATTCTGATTTAGACTATAGCTACTGGTGGGCATCAATCATTTGTTCACAGCCTGAACAGCCTTGGGCGAACCTTGCATAATGTTTCAGAACTTGTTATTCATTCTGGATGGCCCTGCCTGAGAGGACCCCAGCTGGTGTGTGGGCCTCTATGTAATCATGAGCGCGGACACGTTTAGGAGTACTCCCATGTGCCAGGCACTGTGCTGGGCACTGGTTATACCCTCACTCATTCAGTGCTCCCTCCTGGGGTGGGCACTTTCACTTTTACCATTTTGTGAAGGAGGACTGACGCTCAGGGAGGTGAAATATCTTGCCCACAGCTCCCAGCTAGTGAGGGGTGAGCCGTGAGAAGGAATTTGACCCCAACCTCGCTGGCCCCAGAGTCCATCCCTGTACCCCTCTACTCCTCTGCATGTGCGTCTGTCCTGCTTCAGTACCTCCAGTGGCACCAGGTGGAGCCTAGGTGAGTGGTCAGAATGTGATGAGACCCAGAAGGCTCAGGTCTTGAGCCCAGACTGCTGAGCACACGTGACTCCAACACTAGGACTCCTGGGCCTTCAAACACTGGGTGCACCGCCAAATCACAGGTTTCTTGAAGCTGTCTGTATTTAAAAACCTGAAATGTTTCATTTCATCAACACTTCTATCTTTGGACTATCTTATGGACTCTAGTTTTAAAAAGCATCTCAGCTCTTTTATCACTGAGACCCCTATTATCTGACCCTAGGATGACTGTGTAGATCTCGAAAAGCTTTTCTGCTTTCTCTCCTTTCTCTTCCTTTCAACCAGGAGGACAGACAAGTGTGAACTCAGGTACCAGCAGCATAAATTTAAAATCCAGATACCCAAGCAGAAGTCATAGGATGATCTCTCTGACCTTCTGCAATGGTTAAAACCTCTTAACCCCTCTTCTCCCAAAATCATTAACATTCACTAGGTTAGTACTATCTTCAAAACACTGTGTTAGGCATGGTGGAACAGACCCTAGTAGGGCAAGCCAGGCCTGTGTGAACACAAAGATAACTGACTCATTAGCTACCAGATGGTGAAGCGAGTGTCTCATAGGTCTCTGTATTTGGCAGGGTGCCTGATGCTTGTTAAGTGTGGAATGAATGAGTGGTGTCACCAAACAGTTTCCTGAAACCAACTATTCCAACAAAGCCTTCTAGAGCTCCATCACTGTACTGTTCTGCACGCTGGGGACTCCCCGGAGCACACAGCAGACAAGTTTTTGCCCAAGTGGAGCTTCTAGTAGGAGGGAGATGGGGTGTTGGGCCATACCTTGAGGACAGAAACCTAAGATGATTCCAGTCTGTGATATGTGAAAAGAGAGGACGCCAGGGAACAGGAAGTAAGTCGTGGAGGGCTACTCTGGAGAGAATGGCAGAGAAGGCCTCCGATGAGGAGATGCTACACTGAACTCTGAAGGATGAAAAGGGCCGGAAGGTGAAGATATGGGGAAAGGTAGGGGAATGGCAAGTGCATAGGCCCTGAGGGAGAAATGCTCTTGGCTTATTAGAGCAATAAAAAGGAGTCCAGGGACTGTGGCACAGGGTTTGGGGGAGAATGGAGGATGAGCTCAGGGGGCAGATCACATAGGGCCTTGTAGGCTGTGAGCAGGAATATGATTTTACCCTGAGTGGGACAGGAGCCCCTGGAAGGCTTTCATCAAGGGCATAGCATTATCTGATTTTTAAATTTTTTAAACATCATTGGCTACGATGGGTTAACTATAGAGAGACAACAGTGAATATGGGGAGACGACTGAGTGGCTACTCCCTTAGTCTAGGCACGAGATGATATGGCTTGGCTGCAGCAGTGCCATGGGAGATGGTTAGAAATGACCAGATTTAGGATGCGCTTTGGAAGCAGCACATCTGTGGACTGCTGATGGCTTGGATAAAGGAATGAGGTGATAACAACCAGAGACAGAAAAAGAGAAGTGCCAGATGAATGGAAGGAGTGGTAGGTCCCACATACGCTTGAACGAGTAAGGAATACCATGTCCTAGGGTGGTCCAGGAAGGCGTTACTGAGAAGGGGCTGCCAGGGCTGGATCTTGCAGCCCAGTAGTTTTCATACAGGTGAGAAGGAAGAGGCATGGCATGAGCAAGGGGCCCATGGCAGGAGAGAATGTCCTGTTTGGAGACCAGGGTGTTACCAGTCCCACTAGGTTCATGGGAAGTCAGGCAGTTGATGGCAGCTGGAGAGAGACTGTGGAAGCTGTGCACAAACAGGGCTAGATTTTAACTTGGTTCTTCGTGTAATAGGGCTCCATCCATTCAAGATCTGAGTGCCTCTGAAAGCCTTCTCCTGCATGCTCCTCTTGCTATAAGGTTGGCCTCGGTTAATCACAGAGGCCCACTATGCCAGAGACTCTCTGTGGGAAGATGCATTGTGGGTAAATGCCAACTTCTTGCTCAGGGGTGGTGGTGCCACATGGCTGGCACAGAGGGTAGGCTTAAGGGGAGCGGGCCCAGTCCATAGTGTGCACTACTGGAATTTGTGGCCCTGCTAGTGCAGCGTGGGAGCCCTGCTACACCTGGGGCATGGGCTTCTGAAGCACTAAATGGTGTGGATGCAGATGATGCCATTGCTCACCAGAATCAGAAACAGACACCGTGTAAATGGGATTTTCCCTTTTTCTGCTTAAAAAACATACATCCTCCTAACTGCCAAAGGGAGAGTCAGGTGCCTGCAGAGGAAGTATCACCATCCTCTTCGAGTGAAAAGGTGGAAGGATGCAGAGTTGAATCCACTTATTCACTTCTGTGCATGTCTTATGTATCAGGTACCAGATTGTTTACAGAATAAATAAGATATAACCGTTGTGCAAATGGTCTTTACAGTCTAGTGGGGGACCCAGATCTGTAAACAGTGTGACGAATGCTGGGCAAGTGCTCTGCCCACTCAGGCCACAGCCAAAAGGAGAGTCAAGGACAACAGATGACAGCAATGTCCCATACAATGCAGCACCCTAGGAAGCCACATACCTGTCTGCTTTCCTGATTTTTGCTTCTCTCTCTGTCTTCGGGTGATGCTGTCTCTTAGCCGTTTAAGATTTTCCTGGAAAAAAATTGGTTTATTTTTATTTATTTATTTATTTATTTATTTATTTTGAGATGGAGTCTTGCTCTGTCACCCAGGCTGGAGCGCAGTGGTGCTAGCTCGGCTCACTGCAAGCTCTGCCTCCTGGGTTCACGCCATTCTCCTGCCTCAGCCTCCCAAGTAGCTGGGACTACAGGCGCCAACCACCACACCGGGCTATTTTTTGTATTTGTAGTAGAGATGGGGTTTCACCGTGTGTTAGCCAGGATGGTCTCTATCTCCTGACCTCATGATCTGCCCACCTTGGCCTCCCAAAGTGCTGGGATTACAGGCGTGAGCCACCGTGCCGGCCGGTTTATTTTTTAAGTGTACAACAGAATGATAACCTCTGGGAATGAGAGTTTCTTTCCGATTGTATGCTGTTTGCAGGGTATATCATATTGCAGTCACATTTACAACATGCAAATGAGGCTCAGCACATTCACAGTCAGCCCCCAGAGAAATCCAAATACTCACAGAATCTGTGCCTGAAGAGATGCCATCTCTTCCAGAAGAAACTGTCTTTCCTCCCCTCTGGTCCCCAGCTCTGTTCTATACGGCCCCTCTCATGTATGCCTCTTAGCCCAGCTCACAGATACTCCACAGGTATTCCCGTCTCTGAGACTGTGTTCTCACATCACTCCCCTGACCTTCAGGGATGTTGGTTCCCCTCCATCAGTCTGGATCAAGGCCCACTTTCTCCCTGATGCCTCCCAAGATGCTCCAGTCCTTAGTGACTGCCCATGCCAACCATCCAGCACTTGGGCTACGCTGTCTCATCGTGTGTGCGCACTCTTGTGCCTTGCCTCTTCGAGCTACTGTGAGCTCTCCAAGGTCAAGAGACCAGGTCTTGTACCTTTCCATAATCCTGCCATCTGGTCCATTGTAGTCATTCAATAAATGTTGAATAGATTTATTCAATGTGAGGGTCAAGATTGTTGCTATTTTAGTCAATTAACAATAATCCCAAAGTTAAGTGCCTGAGCATTCTAGGGAAAATGTCCAGACAATTTGGCTGGAGCAGAAGGTTCATGTGGGGGAGTCGCAGGAGGCCAAACTGGAAAGGGGGGTTGATCTGCAGCTGCAGGCGAAGAGACTGAGCTGTGTCCAGGAGGCAGCAGGGAAACATTGAACATTGTGAGCCTGTCACGGCTTTAAGGTTCCAGTCAACTAGAGAAGAAGGAATGGAGGCCAGTAGACCTTTCTGGAGACTATGGAGTATGCCAGATGCAGGCAACAGAAGCTGACATGGGGATGTGGCTGGGGGAATGGAGAGACAGGAGCAAATGCAAGAGGACAAATGCCACAGAGCAGACCAAGCAGGACACGCCGCTGGCTGGGTGTGCAAAAGCACGGGAGAAGGCCAAAGAGACACTGAGGTCTGATCTCTGTCTCCAGGAGAAGACAATGTGATGAGCACAGAGAGGGTGTTGGGAAAGGAAAGCGGCCTTGAGGGATGGTTTGTTGTTAGACATGCTGCGAGTCTGGGACACCTCATGGGGACAAAGCCAACTGGTGGCTGGAAATGTGGAACCAGAGACACAGACTGCACAGAGAAGGAGCTGAAGGAAAGCTTCAGAGTCCACTTGTGAGAGGGCGACATGAAGGAGACAGAGCAGTGGACAGAGAGGCAGAGGAAAAGGAAGATGAGGCCTCCACCCAGAAATGTCTCCACACCACCAGCCCCTGGAGGGGAGATACTCAGGAAGTGCCCGGAGGCTATCAGGACCAAACAATGTGAGCCCCCATGGGCTGGGCTTCTGCCACATTGAATATGAACCCCAGTTGTCTGCTACACCCAAGAGTTCTGGGCCAGTTCATGGGAAAGGAAGAGGTCTCTTGGACATAAACACAGAAAGACACGGCACATGTATACCTATGTAACAAACCTGCACATTGTGCACATGTACCCTAGAACTTAAAGTATAACAACAACAACAACAACAAATACTTGGAAAGGATTTACCTTTCTGCAACAATGGACTGGTACATACAAGTTGATGATAATGATAAGGCACGTAAATTATGTTCCCACTGGAAACCTCCCTGTCCACCCCTTCTCATTTCCTTTAAACTTATCCTCAAACTACTTTAGCTGAGAAGCTTTTCAGCAGACTGAGTCAGTGGTGGCTTATACCTATTTATATTTGTATTAATTGCTTACAGATTATATCTCATATTAGCAATTACATTACACTACAAGAAAATGTAAAAAAAAGAAAAAAAGAAAAAAAGAAAGACAGCTAACATTTATTATGTATTTACTATGTACCAGTCATGCTGCTTACAGTGGCTTATATCACCTAGACCTCCCGCTTCACATTTCAGAGGTGGAAAAACAGAGGCACAGCAAGGTCAAGGTCATCCAGCCACAAATAGCAGAACAAAGATGTAAATTCAGGCTGCCAGCTCCAGAGCCCTGGCTGTTCTTAACTACTGTGCCACGTGGTTGCACAACTTGGCAAGGAGCAAAAAGACATTGTTTAGCCAGGGCCAGCCTTTTCTCAGCAGGACTGCAGCCTCCTGGGGGCTCCTGAGTGAGGAGCACCTGTGATTCCTGCATTCAGCTCTCCAGAGTGCCCTCCCACCCTTCAGGCCCCCAAAGAGAGGGGGGCATCTGGCAGAGCAGGTGCCCCTGTCTTAAGGAGCACTAAGAAGGCAGAAGGTATAGCAAAGGGAGCACAGACTCTGGGGTGAGAAAGGGGAGGTTTGAATCTTGACTGCCTCTTCGCCTCTCTGAGCCTCAGTTTTCCGTGGAACAGGAGGAATAATACCTATTTCATATGCGTGTATGAGGAGTGAAAGAGGTCAGGTCTATTTAATGTTGAACACAATGCCTAACATAGCACTGTCAGAGGTCAGCAAATGCTGCCTGATGACACGTTTCCCCACTCTTCACCACTAATCCTGTCCCAGAAGACAGGCTCCCATCTCAGCCCTGGAGGGGTGCTGGTATGTCAGATAGCATAAGAACAGAGATTAGAATACACACCACCAGGGTCTATGGCCGTACCACCCTGAACGTGCCCAACCCCATCTGATCTCTGAGGGTAGGCAGGGTCGGGCCTGGCTAGTACTTTGAAGGAAGCAGCCTGGGGAGGTGGACAGAGACAGCAATAGTTCCAGTCCTGACTCGGCCCCTCACTAGGAAAGTTGCCTTGGATGTGTCCCTTAACCTCCTGAGCCCCATTTCTTCCTTTTTAATACAAAGGCATTGGTGGACTAAGAAGGAACTTCCTAATGTTGAGTTTGAGATTTTTTATTGTTTTTAATTATATATTGTGTACACTTATGATACGGGTATGGAGTTATATATTCTCATAAAAGCTTCAAACTATTCAGGTAAAGCAAGAGTCTCCTCTGACATCCCAGTCCTCCAATCCCAGTCTTCTCCCGAGAGGTGGCCCCTGGAATGGGCCCGAGGCAGCCACCATTTGCAGATCTTTGTCCTTGCATTTATATACATGTCCATAGAAATACAGAGTTTGTGTGTGGAGGTGTCTGAGTTGTTTTAATTTGGGTAGTTTTGCATCTGCAACTTGTTTTGTTCATTTAATCATATTTCTTGGTAGTTTTCCAAGTTCTCTTTGAGTGCTAAAGTGTGATAGCTATGAGGGTATTTGGCAGTAGGAATAGAGAAAGGGACTCTGAAAAGAAAAAAGCTGGAAAGCAGAAGCAGGGAGCCAAATGCAGGGAGACACAGCAGCGGAGTTAGTGTTTATAGTTGAGTCTTTGTTCCTGATCTCAAGCCTCATGGCACCTGGAAAAGCTATCCAGCTCTCAGCCAGGGAGCCATGTGCTTACAGACCGAGGTGACACTCATACACACTCGCTGGTTCACAATGAAACTCAAACGTTTGCAGGCACAGGTGTCATGTACAGCAATACACAAGACAGCCATGGCCCAGCCCTGCTCCACTGTCAAGTGGGGAAATAGAAATGAAACAAATTCCATACGAAGCTAGTTACCTGCTGGAAACGAAAGGACTCCGATCGTTTCTTCTGGTTGAGCTGCCACTCTTTGAAGTGGAGCACAGCCTCATCCACGTTGACAATGCCCAGCTTCACCTGCTCCTGGAGGGTGATAAGCTGCCGCTGGCCTGGTGTTTTCATCCCCGCAAAAGGGTCATATATACTCGACTGAGGCCTGTCCCTCCATGGTCTGACAGGCGGCCCTGGAAAGGATGGCAAAACTCAGCTTGACAGTTCCCCCACTGGGGACCGCTCACCAGAGGCGTAGGGTTAATGAGGCTGGTCACAGGCTCAAGAGGACTCATCTCAAAAGAACAATTACTTGTAGCCAAGAAGGGGGAGATACAACATAAAATCAGGGCAGAAGAACGCAGCTAATAATTCCAAAGCCTATCACACTAAAGCAGACAAGGCTGCAACATTTAAGGGAGGTGTGAAATCTGCTGACTCTCCCAAGTCTTAATTATTATTGCTATTATTTTTAACAGACTTCATTCATTTCATTTTTCTTGTATAAAAACCCAATGTTGTAACCACAGCTGGAACCTGAGTCTTCTGCTTAGAGACTCTGGTGTGGGTCTTGAGAGATGGTCAGTGAATTCCTGGTAGGGAAATTGGGTGAATACAGTCTCTTTCCAGAGGTCAGGGATCAAGTTGCTATCAGTCTTAGAGATGGCATCAAAGGTGGCCCAGGGTGGCAGTGCAGTCCCTGGCCAAGGTGTAGCAGCCATGAGCAGCAGCTTCTTGGGTACAGAGGCCAAGATAATGCTAGTGCCCCTGGGGACAGGGATAAGGCACACCAGCACAGAGCCAGTGGCCTGTCACATTGCAAAAGCTGGCGTGGGGCTTGCTGATCTTGTTCCCCCTGTAGCCTGTCTGTGTAGGTCCAGTGGAGAGCTTGGCTGGGATGATGGCCCCCTTGGATGGTAGTGGCTAACCCCTTGGAGTACTTAATACCCAGACAACATGGCCACTGTAGTCCTCAAAGGCAACAAACACCTTGAATCTGGTGAAATGCCCAGCATGGGTCAACTTCTGTGTCAGCATAATCTTCAGAACCCCATTCTTGAGAGATGACCCAAGGAAAAGCTCAATGATCTTAGACACCTTGATGGGCAGAAAGAAGAGAGCTCTCCCAGGACTTGATCTTCATGTCTTTGGCCAGGTGGTCTAACTTAGTGATAAGTGTCCACTCCTTCTTCTCAGCCTTACTTCCATGAACTCCAGAGCCTTGGCCCCAGCCACAGCCACAACCTCGGCCTGAATGTCACTGCCAAAGCCTCCAGGGAGGCCATCACAGTCTCCATTCCAGGACGCCCAGGCTCTTCCACTGCATCAGCATCATCCACCATTTGGTGTTTTCTTGAAGCAGCAGCCAAGCCTTAATTATTGAGATGCCTTTAGACAAGCATTTCTCAACCTTGGCACTATTGACATTTTGGGCCAGGTAATTCCTTACTGTGTGGGTGCGTCCTGTGTATTGTACGATGTTCAGCAGCATCCCTGGCCTCTACCCATTAAATGCTAGCAGCACCCGCTTCTTTAGTTGTGACAACCAAAAGTTTCCCTTATATTGCCAAATGTTCTTTAGGGAGTGGGTACAAAATCACTTCCAATTGAGAACCACTGCTTTAGACTTAAATCCACACCCAGAAGAGAATATACTGGAAGAGTTTAGCCAAGATGCTTCTCTTAGCTCCACTCTCGTCCCTCACTGTCTCTAAGCAGCATGGGGCACAGTGATTGTGGACCCATGGGCATGAAATGCCCCAGGAGACTGGAACATCAGTGGAATCATGACCAGGCCCAACAGCATCAGGTATAAAGTAGGTGCTGGCTTCCAGCTGGCTACCCTTGGGTTGTTCCTCTGCCAACCTCTCTTCCACATTACAAATTCACAGTTCTCTGCTTTGGAGCTTCTAGGGAAATAGGAAGCCAACCCTCATCTCTCTCCAGGCTGTGACTCCAGTTCTGTGGGGAATGAGCTATTCGCAGTGACCGTGGGGCCACTGAGGCAACTTGACGTTTCACTCAATTCATATGAGGCTATTTGAATCTGAATTTCTCCAGCAGGACCCCATTTGGGTATTGTGATTCAGGGACACAACATGAAGAATAAAGAGAAATGGCTTCACCAGTGAGTACTGAAAAAGCCTCAAAGACGTTTATCTATCATTCTGCCCAACCACTCACTATCTGTCCACATACACCCACACATCCTTCTCCCAGGTCTGCCCTTCTCAAGGCTCTCTTTAATGGTGTTGGGAGACGCGGTGGAGGAAAAAACAAAATGCACAAGCCAACCAGTTCCAGTCTCCCACTACCAGAGCCCTTGTGGGATGCCTTCAAATGCTTACATGGTGTCATGGCTACTTTTCAAAAGAATCCTCAATGGGATAATACTGAGTGTTTCTGCTTAGCACAAGGAAATCAAGAAAAAAAAAGAGCACGTAGCTCCTCAAACTTCCTTTAAAACTGTTTAGAAAAATGAGACTTCCAAGTTGTTCCCCAATGGCAAGCAAAATACCTTTTAAATAAAAGTTGATTCGAAGTATAGTTTGGCTAGTATAGATAAGGTAAGTAAACAGCCCAGCAAGGCTGTATCATTAGGTAAAGACTGGGTGCTGGGCCACCTACTTTCATCCTGTTGGCATCAACCTCCATTTTTAGATTATACTTTTATGTGCTTTATGGACACTTTCCACTAATTAAGGTCCTTTGTATGACCAACTTGTACAACATTGTAGAGGACCCTGATCTCTTTCCCTCCCCCTTTACCATCAGTACAAGACTCTCAGACAGTGCCACCCTAAAGTATCCTTGGATCTCTCTATTGTATTTATTTATTTATTTAATTTTAGAGACAGGGTCTCACTATGTTGCCCAGGTTGGTCTCAAACTCCTGGCCTCGAGTGATTCACCCCCTTCAGCCTCCCAAAGTGCTGGGACTACAGGTGTGAGCCATGATGCCTGGCCTAGATCCCTCTATTTTTCAATGCCAAGGAGCTATTGTTACACTTGGAAATCACTGACCTATGAACACTTCAACCACACAAAAGTTCAGTTCATATAACATGTGGCTTACCTTTCCTGAGGCTCTCTGAGGAAACGTAGAAATTCCCAGGCCGCTCTTGACTTTTTTCTGCAAAAACTATGAGATAAACAATATTCTGATTACTGAAAAATTATCAAAATCCAGTACAAAATAATAATAATAATGAATCCATACCTAGGACCACCATATGTGGTTCTGTAAATCAAAAGTGTAGAAAGAGGCAATTAATGAGAAGGACTAGGAATTGTCAAGTAATGGCAGACTAAGCAGACACAATCTCAAACTAGAAAGACAAAGCTAGCCAGAGGACATGATCAGCATTTACAAGCTCATTGAAGAAAACAGTAATGGGAACACGAACATGTGCCTGGACCCCTGAGCACCTGAAGCTAGCCATGGAAAATGTGAGCCTTAAAATTTGAGAATAAAAGGAAGTACCACTTAAAATGCCAACTAGTGCCGTAAGACAGAACTCTAAGCAGTAGAATAGTAAAATGTGTGCACAGCTCCAAAGAGATTAAGGGATCATCACACACCAGGTCCTATTGTGGGGAGGGGAGTGGGGAGGGGTAGCATTAGGAGATATACCTAATGTAAATGACGAGTTAATGGGTGCAGCACACCAACATGGCACATGTATACATATGTAACAAACCTGCACGTTGTGCACACGTACCCTAGAACTTAAAGTATAAAAAAAAAAAAAAGATGAAGTCACTTATGAGGGACAGATTCATGAAGGTTAGGAGAGAAAGCTGGGGCATGACAAAGGCCCACTTAATGGTAAGATGACATGGTGATTATGGCTCCCTGGGCTCTGAAAGAGGCTCTCTGAAGCCAAATACTAACTCTATGGCTTGTGAACCATATGATCTTGGACAAGTGGCTTGACCTCTTCCTGTCCCTGTTTCTTATCTGTAGAATGAGGATGATAATAGTTCTTACACTGGATTGTGATGAGGATTAAACAAGTTAATACATGGAAAGTGCTTAGAACAGTGCCTGGTCCATGTAAACACACTGTTAGCTTTTATTATCATTATTCATATCTAAACTTTGAGACTGTTGCCAATAATCAGCAATACCTTGGCATGCTGGTTAACCCAAGTGATGTCTCTACAATGCCTTACAGTTTATAAAGTACTTCCTTCTGTATTATTTCATCTGACCCTCACAATAAGGCTATGGCAGAGTATTAGTATGTATTATTAGGACATGTATTAATCTATATGTGTATTATTACAATACCCATTTTATAGATGAGGAAACTAAAGCTAAAAAAAGGGTGAAATGGCCTGGACATGGTGGCTCACGCCCATAATCCCAGCATTTTGGGAGGCTGAGGCAGGAGGATTGTTTGAGCCCAGGAGTTCAAGACCAAACTGGGCAACACAGCAAGACCCTGTCTCAAAAAAAAAAAAAAAAAAAAAAAGAAAGGTGAAATGACTTACCCAACATCCTATGCTGAACAGCTGGAAAATGCAAGAGCTGAGAGAGATGAACCCAGGTATTCTGGCCTCCAAGCCATTGTCCCTTTTGTCATCTCCTGCCTCTCTCCTTTCCTTTGTTTCTCCACAGTTTCCTAGCAAGTCCATCAGGGCTCTTGAGGAATCACCTGTGCCCCTGTCCAAACACATCCCTACAAGGAGCCATGCCATCAATACTGTTCCCTACTCCCTCCGCTATTTAGGAATTACCAGCATATATTTGCACGCTTCTTAGATTGAGTTCTCTCAGAAGCAGGACCCGAGACAAGGATTCAAATGCAAGTAGTCTATTTGAGAGGTGATGGAGGTGAGACGGGGAAGTGGATGGTGCAATAAATGGTGGGTTAACAAGCAAGTTACACTGCAGGCAACCTAGGAATCACTAGAACGCAATGTAGAATGCACAACTAAGAATTCTCTCACCAGAGCGGCAAGTAAACTGGGGCACCGATCCATACCTCCTGTCAGGCACTGGTTGAGGGCAGCAACTCTGTGTGTTAATTCCCCAGTGCTTTCAACCTGTCCTGTAAGAGGGCAGAGAAGGCTCCAGGTGCCAGAGGAAGCCCTCAGGCTGAAAGACACTGGTGCTGACAGGCAGGGTCCAGCCAATGAGCACAGAAATGCAAAGGGTTAGGGGGACATGGGCAAGGAACCAACAGTGTCTGCTGCTCATGCCAAGGAGATGATACCCAAGGAGACTGTAGGCAGGAAGCACTGACAGCACCTGGCAGTACGTAATATCTCACAACTGTATTCCTACCCAGTTCAGGGTTGCTGGATTTCGCAAAACAAAAATGTGTGTACTATTTGGGACATACGCTAAAAACTCATTTGCCATTTATTTGAAATTGAAAGTTAACTAGGCATCCTGTATTTTATCTGGCAACCCCAACCCGACTACCTAGGGCTCTGGGTGAATGCTATCTTCCCCAATTTCTAATTCCCTTTTGCCACACCTCCAACCACATGATGAGACCATTGAAAAATAGAATGTAGTTCAGGAGCACAGATCTGGCAATTCTTTTTTTTTTTCTTTTTCAGACAGGGTCTTGCTGTGTTGCCCAGGCTGGAGTGCAGTGGCTCAATCTCGGCTCACTGTAATTTACACCTCCCAGGCTCAAGCAATCCTTCCACCTCAGCCTCCTGAGCAGCTGGGACTACAGGTGCGTGCCACCACACCTGGCTAATTTTTTGTATTTTTTGAAGAGACAGAGTTTTGCCATGCTGCTCAGGCCAGTCTCGAACTCCTGGGATCAAGCAACCCACCTGCCTCGGCCTCCTAAACTGCTGGGATTACAGGCATGAGCCACCTCTCTTCCTATTTCTAATAGTCTTATAGTACTTGTAACCATATTATTGTAACCAAGTCCAAAAAATAGTGAAACTAACAATGCTATCAGTATCTAACTAATGTCCCAGGGATAATTATGAAAAAGTCAAAACCTTAATTTTTAATAACATGGGTAGATGGACAGCCTAGCATAGTGTCTAAAAGCCAGGGCTGTGAAATCAGACTCCCTGAGTTCAAATTTTGGCTTTGCTATGCAATGGTTGAGTGACCTCTGTAAAACCTCTATTTCCTCATCTGTCAAATGACATAATAATGGTCCTTACCTAATAGGTTATTGTAAAGATTAAATGGCATGTTCCAGATAAAGCATTCTTGATAGATTTCAATAAATGTTAGCAATTCAAAATTAATAATATCCAGAAGGGTTTCAGGAGATAAAAATGTATCCGGGTTCTTGTTTACCTGCCTTTGCAACTGTACATAAATACTTCCGGGAGGGCTGGTACTCACTCTGGTCATTACTCCCGTTCTAGCTTCAGAATCTGTCCCAAGATATGACCCCATCTCCTAGGGCTGGTTGAAGACCATTTAGAAGGGGATAGTCTCTGAGCAATGGTTCAGAAAACCAGGTCATCCAGGAAATCCCTGTTGAGAAGCTCCAAAGACCCAGCTGGACATCATTCCCTGTCACACTTGCCTTTACAAATGTATGGTTCGTTGTCAGGCAGCTGGTGAGCACCAGAGGCAGTGGTCTCCGGTCTGGGCACTGGGACAGGGGGCCTGCTGGCCAGGTCCATGGAAAAGGCATCATCATCATCTACCATGTGATAAACATCTTCTTCCTGACCAAGATGGCACTGATCTCTCTCCAGATTGGTCGTTCCCATGCTGTTGCCTAGAAACGCAGAGAAAGGTGACTGAAAGCAGTGGCCAAACTGGTTGATTGCCAGTCATAAAAGCAGAGTGAGGGACCCTACCTTGTTTCCTCAGTGCTGCCCCCTAGCAAAGAACTTTCGCTATCACTTCCTGTATCATCTGCTCAGAACACCACACAAAGCAACTGAGAAAACACTCATGTTACCTTCATTGACACCCAGTGATGCAGTGAAAGGACAGGAGCACAAGGATTTATCATCTCTGTTTTACTGCTGGGATTCAGTTATTCATCCTATTAGAACTAGGAAAAGTCCTAGATAGGACTGTCAAAGCCCTAGTTAGGAAAGGTGGGGCATTCGCTGCCAACTGTCCAATGAAAGTGGTACTTCTTAAAAGGGCTTAAAAACAGACTGCCCAGGACTCCCCTCTCAGGAAAACTTTTTGTTCCAGAGTTGGGGTCAGCACACATTTTTTTAAAGATCCAAATAGTAAATATTTCAAAGTTTGCAGGCCATAAAGTCTGTTGCAGGGACTCAACTGCTCTTGTGACATGAAAGCAGCCATATACAATACTAAATAAATGGTCGTGTTGTGTTCCAACAAAACTTTATTTACAAGACAGGCAGATGGCCAAGCTGTGGTTTGTCTACCACTGCTTTAGAGTTTTTCCTTCCTCTTCACTGTGAAAACTACTTTTGTCCCCTTCTGAGTCCCCTCCTCTTAGCACTCTGCTTTCTAAATCTACTTGATCAACAGACCGCACCATACACTGTAAACAACTGGACAGGGTTAAAGAATTACCCATGCAATTTAACATCCTCCACCTTTGAAACCTTCAGTAATAATAATAACAATAACAAATCTTCATTAACTGCTTGTTATGTGCATGGTGGTGCTCTGACACCTTAATGCATAATAACTCATTTAATTATCACAACATTTATCTCATTTTACAATGGAGGAAACTGAGTCCCAGAGGAGCTGAGTAACTTGCCTGAGGTTTTCCAGCTAACTGGATGGGAAAATTGAGAATAGATCAGAGTTCATGTTCCTAACCACTATACAACACAGCCTCAACTTAGTATCTTTGTTTATATTCGCCTCCTTCACCAGCGAGTAAAGGCTCCTTGAAGGCATTCATCATATCTTACTTTTCTTTGTATCTCCAGCCCCAACATCCAGAACAGTGCTTTGCACATAGTAAGCACTCAATACATTTTGGCCAAATAAAAACAACATATGCATTTTAAAAGAGGTCTTGCTAGAGGCAACTTGTTTACCCAAACAAGTGGCTCCACTGGTTGGAACTCCTGGCCCACCTCTAAAGGGCTGATGGGGGAGCTCATGGTAGAGGGGTCAGGGGAGGCAGAGTGCCTCTATTCACATCGCATGCCATGTATGCCACAGCCCATTCCTTGAGGGGAGCAACCCTTATAAAGAACCAGACAATGTCTTGCATTTGTTTCTCTTTCACTCTTTTGGCTTCCCTGCTCACGGCTATGACTTACCTTCTAAAAACTTGCGGATCATAGAGTCCTTAGTGGCCTGAGAGAAACCATCTCTAGGGATTGGGTTAGATGTACTGGCCTGAAGCATTTCAACATCTAGATGGAAAAGGAGACTAAGATTTATATATTGTTCTCCTCCACAGGCAAGGAGGTTTTTACAGATGGAACTATGAGGTTTGGCAACTCTCTTAAGAGATTCAAGCATTCATCAATCTATCCATCCCTCCATCCATCTACCTACTCAAGAAGGACACTCAGTAAGTGTGGGGCATGAAAGAGAGCAACGTGCACAACCCTCAGGCTCTTCCTTGCACCACAGGTCTCAAAGGGTAAAGATATGCTCATTTGCATTTGAAAGAATAGGTTCAATTTTGAAATACTACATCGTCGCATTGTTTATTACAGAAAAAATGGAAGCAGGAATAACAGGGAATAAATTGTGTTTATGATTTCATAAATATGCAGTAAACACATAAATGTGCTGGGAATGATAAATAATGAATTTTTGGAAGTGGTTACTCTATGGAGAGGGAGAGAGGATCACTGGATTCGGAGGGGGTTGACAGAGGACCATAACTGGAATCATATTATTTAATTAAAAAAAAATCTGAGACAAAAAAAGGAATAAAAAGGAAATACATATTCTTGAAGATTCTGATGAAACTGAAGATTCAGAATCTTCAAAAAATACAATATTTTAGATAATTGATATGCTACCCAAAGGGGGCAAAATAAGATTCTATTTTTGTATTTGCTTATATATGTAAAAAAGAAACTCTGGGCCAGGCGTGGTGGCTCACACTTTTAACCCCAACACTTTGGAAGACCAAGGCTGAAGGATCACTTGAGCCTAGGCGTTCGAGTCCAACCTACGCAACACAGTGAGACCCCATCGCTACAGAAAAAGAAAAAGAAAAAAATTAGCAAGGTATAGTGGCACCCGCCTGTGCTCCCAGCCACTTGGGATGCAGAACCGGGAGGATTACTTAAGCCGAGGAGGTCAAGGCAGCAGTGAACTGTGATCATGCCACTGCACTCCAGCCTAGGCAACAGAGCAACACCCTGTCTCAGTAACAACAACAACAAAACAAAAAAAAAAAAAAAAGAAGAAGAAGAAAGAAAAAAAGAAAAGAAAAGAAACCCTGGAAGGAGATATAAGACATTGATATCAGTGGTTTTCTAGGAACTGAGAAGATGGGGATAAATAATACAGAAAGATATTCCACTGTTCATCTTCTTATATTTTAGCTTTTCAGCCTATTCGAAAAAATAAAGAAATGCAGTATTCTGATATGTTTGTGTTACCTTATTAACCAAAAAACACACAAACAAAAAACAACCTCCTTATTTCTACTTCTTCAGTTTATGTCTCCTGGCATAGTAGACGCATGACATAAATATAATGTATCGTGATGTCTTCCAGTTCAGGGCACTACAATTCCAAATGAGGAACCAGTAAATGAATCCCACCCGCCTGCTCTTGTCACCACTGAATTCCACAACAGACTAGAAAGATTAGGGTAATTGTACTAATCCTGAAGCATACCTAGAGATGCATTCATTATTTTAAACACGTTCTGATAAGAACTCACACCTAATTCATTCCTTAAAAATTCAAGACCAGAAATATTCTACTTACATGAGACTTTCAGTTTAATTTGCTTAATTGTGTTTCATGAAACATTTTCCTCATGGAGTTAGAAAATGGAGGCTGGGCACAGGATGTCACACCTGTAAGCCCAGCACTTTGGAAGGCTGAGGTGGGAAGATGGCTGAGCCCAGGAGTTCAAGACTAGCCTGGGCAACAGAGTGAGACCCTGTCTCTCCAAAAAAAAAAAAAAAAAAGAAAGCCAGGCTGGGTGGCTCACACCTGTAATCCCAGCACTTTGGGAGGCCGAGGCAGGCAGATCACAAGGTCAGGAGATCGAGACCATCCTGACTAACACGGTGAAACCCCGTCTCTACTAAAAATACAAAAAATTAGCCGGGTGTGGTGGCGGGCGCCTGTAGTCCCAGTTCCTCAGGAGGCTGAGGCAGGAGAATGGTGTGAACCCAGGAGGCGGAGCTTGCAGTGAGCCAAGATCACGCTACTGCACTCCAACCTGGGCGACAGAGCGAGGCTCCGTCTCAAAAAAAAAAAAAAAAAAAAAAATTGGCTGGGCATGGTGGTGCAGACCTATAGTCCCATCTATTCAGGAGGCTCAGGTGGGAGAATTGCTTGAGCCCAAGAGATCTGGCTGCAGTGAACTAGGATCATGCCACTGCACTGCAGCTTGGGTGACACAGTGAAACCCTGTCTCAAAATAATAAAAAGAAAAGAAAAGAAAAATGGGAAGGAACACATATTCTACAGGTGTGTGCCCTGCTAAGAGCAGGACCCTCCTCTACCTGACCAAGACTCTGTATTGCCTTCCTTCTTCTCAATTCTTACCCCTATCTCCACTCCCACCTGCCTGACCCTGACCCCAGTTAATTTTTGAAACTCCAGTTTGAAACTCATCATTAACCCAACAATGAAGCACCAAGGAACTTACCCCCAAGGGAAGACATGCTTGGGTCAGACACCCGTAAAGATAAGGGGAGGGAGAAACTCCACAGACCTGTGATCCAGCTTTATACTGCCCAATGCTGAACCCTCTAGAAAACCATACCTGTCTCAGGCCCCAGCATCTCCAGGAACCTTCTCCAGTGTATAGCAACCTCAGGACCATTTTAATCACTAATCACCAAATCTCCCAGGCTGATAATATCAGAGCGCAAACCTCACACACACTGTCAACCCTGTTGACAGAGTGGTAAAAGCCTCATGCAATGGTCCAGCTATTTTCACTAACAACATTCAATTTGAGAGAGTTGATTTGCATATCAGAGACGTAGGTGCGAAACTGAAGGAGCTATAAAGAGAATTTAGGGAAATAAAATGTGGAAGAAAATAGTAGAAGCAAGAGCAGTCCTGGCTGGTCCTGGCATGCTCATATATATGGATGCAGGCTTCCACTCTGGGTACTATAACCCCTTTCCTAATGTGCCCATTTTGGGAGAAGTTAAAGAAAGAACTTAAAAAGAGAAAAGAACAAGCTAAGTGCAGTGGCTCATGCCTGTAATCCCAGCAATTTGGGACGCCAAGGCAGGTGGATTGCTTGAGGTCAGGAGTTCGAGACCAGCCTGGCCAACATGGCGAAACCTCGTCTCTACTAAAATACAAAAATTAGCTGGGCGTGGTGGCGCGTGCCTGCACTCCCAGCTACTCAGGAGGCTGAGGCAGAAGAATAGCTTGAACCTGAGAGGCAGAGGTTGCAGTGAGCCGGGATTACACTACTACACTCCAGCCTGGATGACAGAGCAAGACTCCGTCTCAAAAAACAAACAAACAAACAAAGAGAAAAGAAAAAAGAAAAGAACAGAAAAAAATGTGCACCCGTAATGAGACTTAAGAATATCATGACTCCTTCCACCAAGAAGGACATCATTTCTATAGCATTCTTGACAAAAATTCATAACCTCAGCCCAA